TGAAGAGTTTCAAACTAGGACAATAGAAACAGCTATCCAGTACTCCCGGGTTTTCCAATGGTTCTCTAAGCAATGTCAGCTCATGATGCAATCCTGTAACCAACCAATCAAATCCCTACAAACCAACACTTGAATGTTTTCTCTTTTGTTTAGAATTCGAGTCAGTAAAACACAAAACGTAGTGCATAAAGCTTTAAAGTTTCAGTAAAAAAAGGTTCGGTTGCTGATCTCACACCCTCTTTTCCGGTGTTAATAACTGTTGGGTGGGTTGGATTTCGGATCGTGTTTGCCGGGAATTGAACCCGGATCAGATGCATGGTTGGTGGTGGTGAGCAGCCTACTACTAATTGAACCACTGACGCACAGTTTTTCCAATTTATTCATCTGTAATTGTTTCCTCAAAAGATATGAATAACAGCGATCAATATCTTACATTTAGATTAGTTATAACAGCTGGTATTTTTAAAGTTTTTGTAGAATTCTCAGGATTTTATTCTTCGAGATCTTCTTTTAAAATAAATTGTACAGAAAACAAACCACCTAGTTTTTCTTTTTAAGTTTTCTGTATCTCTTTACCTGCAGGTTTGCACATGTATTTTTCTCATTCACACTTGGATACTTTTTTTTCTAACTATATTATTGAGTGTGCGTCGGTGGCTCACCGACCACGCAGGTGGTCCGGAGTCCGATACCCGGCTGACGCACACTCCTTTACCTCTCAAAGCCAGGAATAAGACTGGTAAACAGGGAAGGTTAGGCATGATGCTTAGTTAACAACCTCATCCTGTAAAAATAATCACCACTGCTACAGAAACTTCAAACCTCTAGCTTGAATCAGCCCTATGTACCACTGGGAACGTAAAAGAATAAAAAATTTTAAGAAAATATTACTCAGCAATATAATGATGTCCACCAAAGCAGTGTTTCTCATTTTATAAATAGTTCTCTTTATGATTGCCTAACTTAAATTAAGATTTGCAAAAAGTCATAACTTGACTTAATTGCTTACTTTAAATATCGAAATGTATTCACTAAATCATTGCTTATGCATTGATTTTAAATTATTTGTCGATCTAACTGATCGATTCTTAATTGGAATTTAGAATAATTAATTCCAAAGTGCACAGGTAGCACTTATACTATTTATCTTCATAGTTCAAGTCTATAATAAGGTATGGTGATGTGTGATTTTTCGGTCTTTTATTTTGTAATATAAAAGACATAACTGTTCGCTTCACGTACAACCTCGACAAAAAAAAACACAAGCGATTGTGTAACTTTTGTAATCTATAAAAATATATAAAAAAAAGTATTGCACTAGCTAACATTGTTCTATGTCTCAACTCTAGGTCTTTGAAATTTTAAAGAAATTATATATGTCATGAACTAGTATAACTTGAATTAAGCAGAGCTAAGAAGAACAAGTGCGTCGGTGGCACAGCGGTTAGAACGCTCGCCGACCATGCACATGGTCGGGGTTTCGATCCCCCGCCGACGCACTCTTAAACTTCGCTAAGCCAGCAGTAAAAGCTGGTAAAGAGGAAAGGTTGGGCATGAGGCTTGCAACCCAATCCTGTAAAAATTATCACCACTGCTACAGAAACTTCAAGCCTATAGCTTGAATGAAGACCTATGTTCCACTGGAAACGTGAAGGAATAAAGAAAAGAAGCACAGGACTCTTTCTTTCCATTTTAGTAATCATAGCATTGTTTTAACTTTTTTCATAAATGAAATTTCAACACAAACCTCCTACATATTCGTCAGTAATTCTTTTCCTGACCAAATTAGTTTAAATCCAATGGTTGATATTTTCGAATTTCATACAATTCATGACATTTATTAATATTATTATTAATAATAATAATAATAGTAGTAGTAGTAGTATCCCCTTGGGTTCCGAGTGGAACATAGATCTTCAACTGCACATCTCCATTTCATCCAATCCCCTTTAGCTGGCCCCAAAATCTCCTCTAAGCTCTCACTTCCGCCTTTAAATGAACGCCTCCATATCACCGTCGGACGCTCAACTCGTCGTTTCCCGTTTGGGGGGGGGGTGTGCACTCGAGGGCTTGCTATGCGGTGTCATCCAAAGGTTAATTCGTTACATATTGTGACTAAATCCAGTTATTCGACAATTGTTAGTTATGGGTTCTTGAATCTTGATTCCTGAACTGCCACCTACTTAGCAGAATCTTGAAGCATTGACCTGGCTGCTTAACTTGCAGCTGTTGATTTACAGTTCCCAACTGGTCTCATATGCATAGATGCGTGTGAGCATTGTCTATGGTCTTCAGACAATTGATACATATCATTGTTTATAATTGCTTGTTAAGTTACACACCCTTGATCGACAAGCGCTTAGTTAGTTTATAGGAAAAGGTGGTGAAACGGTATTTGAGTGCATGGTCCCAATGATACCCATAAAATGGATGAACCTAATACACTAAAACTTCCTGACAAATGCCTCCGTATTTACTGTTTTAAATTACAAATTCAGTAGACCTGTTGTTCAGCTTTCTTACTAATTGCTTTAAAATAATAATTATATATATAACCCAACCCCTCCTCTTAAAGTTTGTCAACTCGTGCGTCTTACCTATTCTTCTTTACTGTTCACTCTGATTCTTTCCTGGATTGCTTAAAAATGACAATGTCATAATTCGTAGAACTCTGAAGACTGTCAGTAGGACGAGTGGTATCCCATTAGGCCACATCGTTGATATTGTCAATGATAGGCACCTGATGTCATGCAACAAATTAGCTAAAGGAATTTTGTCAGACTCTGAGCATCCACTCTACCCGCACCTCTAACTTTGTGTGTCTCCCCAGGTGAAACAAGAAGTCTTTTTAGAAGAATTTATGCACGTACGTTTAAGTATGAAAATTCCACTATACCATATTTGGCCGCATGTACTTTATGTGATGAAAAATAGTGTTCAGGCATGTGAACTAACCGACCTTCTTTGCACTACTAAATAAAACACTTTCTCCAACCTTACAACATCAAGCTTTATAGTTATTGTACTTATTCTTATAATTCTCTCAATTTTTTGTTTTTATTTGTTTATTTTTTCTTCATAAGTGTGAACATCATTTAAGCTGTGTGAATAACTGCTAATTTTGTATTCCCCCTCACCAAACTATATCTACAGAACATTAGATTCAATAATTGCCAAACTGAATCGACAATACTGTCTGAAACAAACTCACTGTTATTATTATTATTACTATTACATTTAATAGTCTTAATTCGTGCTTCGAATATATTTGACTTTATATCGTAAATGTGGGCAAATTCCCCTGGTGTTAATTTGTTTTAATTTTATTTATATTTTGAGTAAATCAGATACAATATTGTGACAAATGCTGAGAAGTCTATTCTGTATTATTATCTGTACTGTTTTTGGAATAAAGTAGATTATTATCATTATAATTATTATATATGTGAACCTCGGTAAGTCAAGTAGACGAAGAATGTATAGCCTATAGATTGAAGTATTTCCCTTCATAAGAATTTCCTACGTGATTAATCGGTTATTAATTCCCTATTGAGGGCAGACATCAACTGTGGTATCGGTAATACCAAAAGAATATATTGATTTTGTACTACTGTTAGTTTTCCACAAACTATATGGTTATCTTTCCATTGTGTATGTATTCTGTAATATTTTTATATAAATTTACCATATGAAAAGTTGAACTTCCTTTGCTATGCTTCTTCAGCATTATTTGACTCTCTCTGTCTGTATCTCTCTCTCAGGTTGAATACTCATAAGAAATATACATTATTATTATTATTTCCTTTTATTCCTAGGGGAACGTAGGGCTTCAGTTGAACGTCTCTATGCGTTCAGTTCTCTGTCAAAGTTTTCACCTGACTCCACGTCCATCCACATGCTTTCATCTCCTCTTCACATGACCTCCTCAATGTCACTCTTGGACGACCACTTCTCTTTCGGGTTCCACTCGATGGCTTGTCTAGTGATGTCATTTGGTGGTTTCTTTTCTAAGAGTATGCCCAATCCACCTCCATTTCTTCCTGGTTATTTGTTGCACAGTTGGTTCGCTCATTGCCAGAGATCCATCACTGTTGCTAATCCTCTCTGACCGGCCATCTGATCTTGAGTAGTACCGAGCGAAGACAACTGTTAATGAAGGTCTGTAGTTTGTTTGAGGTGCTCTTTATGACGCGCCAAGTCTCAGATCCGCATAGTGAGTAGCACTGACTTCACATTGGAGTTAAAAATCCACATCTTATTTGTCATGCTGAGTGCTGTTGACCTCCACACAGACTTGAAAGAAATGAAGACTTGCCTTACTTTCCCGATCTTCGCTGCTTTGATATCCTCGTCAGTTCCGTCGGCCTGTAGTTGAAACAGTGCTTTCCAGGTGAGTAGGTAGGTAAAGGAGGGTCCTTCTTTCAGATTTCTCCCACTCATATTGGCTGATTGCTGTTGCTGTTGACCAGAATCTTCATCACCTGCCTCTGTCTTCTCTATGTTCACCTGAAGTCCTTCCCATCCTCGTTGCTTCTTCTGCTAACTTGTTGCTTTTCACTTGCATATCTCCCAGCTTGTGGAGAACCAGACATATGTCATCGGCGAAGTCCAGATCCTCCAAGTTCTTTGTAAAAGTGGGTCCATTTTATGCCTGTTTCCTCGCCTCCCGCACTCTGTCGCATTATCCAGTCTATAGCCCACAATCAGGAAAATCATTGGCGATAGTAGAGAGCCGGCTTGTCTTACTTCTGTCTTCACTTCGAAGGATTCCGTAAGTTTCCCGTTGTGGATTACTTGGCATGCAGCATTGTCATACAACCTTTGGATGAGATATATAATTGTTGGCGGCACCCCGTAGTAGCGAAGTAGTTGCCAATTCACCTCTCGATCGACGCTGCACTATCCGATGCCTTTTCAAAGTCGATGAAGTTGAGTTAGAGAGGTGACTGAATTTGTGCACATATACAATCCTAACTAGTTACATATGCTTTTCTTTGCAGGTAACACTGTATCAAATTCAGTCGATTATCTAGACGATGAAAATCCTACTGAAGAAGGTTTACATGTAAAAACTGAAGATATTCATATTAATCCAATAGATGGAAGTGATAAAGTTAGATCTCCTTGGCACACAAAAAGATCAAATCAAAAGAAGCTAAAAAGTCCAAAATCAATACGTTATAAAAATAGACTACGAAATATTGTGAATAATAATAATAATAATAATAAAACTGATCTACTTTGCAATGGATTATCTCCCAGTAGAAATGATTCGATTTTGTCAAAGAAATCAGTAAGCATATTTCACTTATTGTTAGCCTTTTTTGTTCGGTAGTCTGATGCTCACTATTCTCCTTTCTATTTTTTTTTGTCAAGTTGGGTTTTTTCCCCTGCTTCTATGTATGTTGATGAGGCGACATTAGTTATTCGTCCCATAACTTCAGGATTCACTTACATAACCATTGACAGTCAACGAGATCGGAAATTTGACATGTACTACTGATAGAACTTATCAGTAGTATATAAAGAGATGTTCATCAGCATAAAAAAACATCAAGTAGCATGGAGATAAATTTGATGTCACAGAAAGCAAATGATACACCGTTGTGGAGATACATAGGAGATATCAAACGAACACAAAGAAACACAGGCAATATGAAGGCCAGAAGTACTACAACACGGAATATCTGTGGAAATGGTGCGTTGAAGATAAGGTGTACATAATTTGGCTATATAGAAATAGACCAAATTGCAAATGAACATTCCTTTACCAAGTCTTTCGTCTTCTGCCGTTGTAGAAAGACTTTAGTAAAGCTTCTCATTAAATTCAATTTGCATCATTTTGACTATAATCGGTGTGAAGTTATTCGTCCATATAGATGCTTGACTGGGGATGTGACTTATTGATGCGTAAGCACCCGACTTTCTGGCCGTAAGTCCTCGGCTCTGGTCCTGTTTCATCTACTTCAGAGATAATGTCATCAGACTTCATACGATAATTGTGGCTCCACAGCCTAATACTTAATTAATCTACTCCGAGTAAATGAATTTTTAACTATGAATGCTTAAATGATGAAACACACTGTGTATTCCTCCTTATAAATCTCATCCATCGGACCCACTTTTATATTCTCTAACAGACAAAAAAGGAAATGTACAGCTTTGTAGAAGAATTGTTGGTCTTATTGAATTTTATTTTTGATCATGGTTAAGCTTCACATATGTTGCTTTTTTACTACATAATATAATAAGTTAACAAAAAATGTTTTTGATAGTGATTAGCCTTCCGTTATACATTGCGTAATAGCAGCCTTTCTTAAATAAACAGAAGCATATTTTTGTAATATATATGCTTGTGCTATTCAAATCGTAACTCTAAGCATCGTCATCACAGAACAACGCATAGAATGGCAGTTTAACCTGTACCTTAACTTCTTCATCGTCCTCGAAAAGACCTTCGACAGTGCAGTGTTGACCGGGAAGTAATTTGGAAACTGCTCATACATTATGGCGTATAGTGTTCAAGTCTTTATCAACCACCTCATTCACCGGCTGGCTAAATGACTATGCCACGTGTCAGGTGATCTACAAGAGAAAACTCAGCGTGGCATTCAAAATGAATACAGTAGGCAAAACAAGAGGACTGTTTATTATCACCGATGATATTTTTTATTTGTAGTGGACTGGATTATGCGTTAGACTGTGGGGAGCGAGGAGACAAGAATACGCTGGACGACCGATAAGAAGACTCTAGAAGATATGAATTTCGTAGATGACTTATGTTCAATGTCACACAAGCTCAAAGACTTGCAGACAGGACTGACTGCAGGTGAACATAGAGAAGATAGAGGTGATGAAGATAACTAACCAAAAGCAACAACAACCAGCACCAGCTAATATCTACGGGAGAGATTCAACAGAGGTTTCTTACTTCACTTATATGGGCAGTAAGCATTGTTTCAACCACAGGCAGCCAGCACGGATGAAGATGTCAAAGCCAGCCAGTCAGAATTGGAAAGGCGAGATACACCTTCATCATCTTGAAACCAACCACTTTGGACGTCGTCTGCACTAACTCAACCAGCATAAAGAACAAGATTCGGATTTTCAAAACCAATCTCAAGTCAGTCAGTCCTTCTAAATGGATCAGAGAATTACCACTGCGTGTCACGAAAAGGGTTTCCAACAGGCTGCTTCAGACTTTCATCAACAGCAGCTGCCCACTTCGCTAGCTGGCTGACTCCCTACTGAAGACCAAATGGCCAACCAGAAATAATTAGCAGCAAGAAACTCTGACAACAAACTGAGCAAGAGCCGATCGCCCAACCAGTATGTAGGAGAAAATGGAGATGGGTGGGACACACTGAGGACGCCGTCAAATGACATCGTGTGGCAAGGCAGGCCATTACTCTGGAGTAGAATCCCAATGGGAAGCGACGAGTAGGTTGTTGGTGCGAGGGTAACATGAGGGAGATCGTGTGGCGATGAGGAGGATGAGTGGTTATGGAAAATCGTGGACCCAGCTGAAGAGGATAGCAAAAAATCAAAGAAAGTGAAAATGTGTTGTTGAAGCCTTATGTTCTACTTGGAACGCAAAGGAATAATAAGGACAAATGATATTTTTGTAACTTCGTATTCATTTCGAGTGATGATCCAACAGTCGTAGACCTAGGAAAAATAGTTTTCATCGTAGTGACTTATTTAAAGTATGTCAGGTTGAGGGCGATGTTTTACTGGTATAAGAAGTTGATGGTGACAAACTACATCCCACTCTTACATGGAAGAGTTTCAAAAGATTGACTCCGTAAAATTTCACATCTTAACTTATCCGTAGTCTATCCGCAGACTACACCTAACGTGTTCATACAGACTAAACTATAAACTGAAACACTTTTTAACTGATCACGTTGTGACCAACCTCTGCAAAACTAATCCTTTTTCAATATCGGTTACTTCGAAAGGAAATTCGTTCCTATCTGTACTCGGGTCCTATTGCTTTCTAAATTGTTATTAAGAAGTGTAAGTTACCTTGAATTCAGGCGCTTCAGAATTCTTGTTCACAAAATTACATTCTAGTCTCTTAAAATTATACTCCAAACCATATAGCGGTTATTGATAAACGTTTATGGGTTCTTATCTGCTGGGAAAAACACATTTTCCTCAAGCCTTCCTCTACCCCGATTAATAAAATACACCATGTTTTCATTTTTGTTTAATTTTAGGATTGTCTACCCAATCTTTATGCTGATCAACGCCTCCTTAATGCTGATACTGAGTGTTACAATGGCACAAATGATTATCTGTTAAGACATGAGCAGGATATTGATGTCTCTCTTCCATTCAGTCCTCGTAGACGAAATACCTTCCCTGCTCACTTACTATCGGATAACGAGAGACGATCTTCCGAATCGATTGGTGGTCTCACAAATCTACACCAGCCTTCCTTATGGCATGATCAATTTTCACCAAATCATCTCTCTGTATCTAATTGTAACGGAGATACTAAACTTTTAGCTGACTATTCAGAGAAGCATAAATCACTTCTTATGAATGGTGATTCGTCATTATCTCAGGTGCATAATGAAAACTTGATAGAACACAATCTATCTAGAGATAAGTTAAATCTAAGTTGTAACTCTCTCCATGAAGATTATGAACGAAGTCAAGTAAGCTTGTTTTCTTTTCTTTTTGATAATGTTCACTATAATAGTCTTAAATATCATGAAACAAAGCTTGTTGTGTCATGAAAATTTCACCACAAAGTGTGAAAATTGCGAATTTGATTTTAAATACTGCCGGTTCACCCAATTCGGATGGTTTCAACTAATTAGGCTCTGTGAACTAAGTCAAACCACTAACACCGCTGATAAACTTGACCCCAAATGAGCGAAACAGCCGTCCGCTGATCAGATCCCTTCGATCTAGCTAAAAAATACTGTTGTTTCGTGTTTGTTTATAGGCACCTGCGTTCTATCTCCCGTGTCAAGTGGTATAATCAGGTAAGCAATATTGAGGGTTAGGCGTCGAGTGGTGATAGGTAAGGAGTGGAAATCATTCGATGAGGTTGTGAAGTTACGTCGATTGAGTGAGATGGTTAGGACATGTTTTACACATGCATACACCTAACCGTTGACCGCCCTCTTCGACTGACGGGCAGTGTTAGCTGACATAGCGTGGATCAGGTTGGGGAAGGGCTAGTGGTGGTCAAACGAAAACATGACTTCATCAGTCAATGAAATCCACAACAGTTAGTTTGAGTCGGCCAATCACGTAGGTAGGTGCAGACTTCTTGGCAGGTGGGGTCGTCGGGATGGTAAAACCGATGACGACTGGAGAAAATTGGTGGTGACACGGTTCAAAATCGTTCTCATTGTCTGATGCAGATGCATTCACTTTTTCTGATTTATCATATGCAATAAGACTTTATTGTTCTTCCGCATTATTATTCTTTTTACCTCACATGTATGTTTATTGTTGCTCCTTTGAATTTGTCTTTACTCTGTTCTCTCGCTTTGTGGTATATGAAGGGAGAGTGGCAACTCGAACTGCTGCAGACCTATGCAAAGTTCTATATTGGAACCAACCAGTCAGTCACTGATTGATGTAAGTGGCATCTAACTAGACATATCAATCAATTATTAGTATATAATATCATTCATATAGGATCCTAGTAAGTTTCTATACCTGCTCGTCACACACACTATATCAGAGTTGAGCACACTATTAAGTTAATGTATAACAGACTTTACACTCGCCCAAACATGTTAAATAAGGATTGAATTTAGAAAGCAAGTTTGTCACTTTGTCATGCCTGTGAAACCTGGCCTCTCCGAGCTGAGGATGTGCGGCGACTCTGCGTGTTCGATCATCGCTGTCTCCGCAGGATTGCTTGCGTTCGATGGCATCATCGCGTGAGTAATTCTGAGGTTCGGTGGCGTGTGTTTGAACACAGTGGAGATCACCATTCGTTGAGTGTCGTCATCTGGAAACACCGGCTCCGGCGCTTGGACATGTGCTGCGAATGTCATCCCATAGGCTTCCGTACAGGTCTCTGTTCGCTAGCCAGCCCTGGGACGGGATGGAAAAGGCGGAGAGGTGGTCAGTCCATGACGTGGTGTCGTGGAATGAAGGATGTTTGTGCTAGATTAGCATCGGTTGGTGTGTCACGGCTCCCTGGTTGGGGTGCGAGAGATAGCTGAAATCGATGGCTCGAAACGTTATCGGATATGGCCAAGAATCGTAATCAATTGCGGACGTGTTGCAATTTCCTTCTTTCTTCCCTTCCTGATGATAGTTAACGAATACTGTTTAAACTTGTTAATCTTGACTGTTTTCCTTCCAGATGAAGTTCTTTATCCGTTCTCTACTTATATTTTTTTACTTTTGATCTATGTTGTTTTATTATTATTGTGTGGCGCATCTTTCTTGATGCCATATCGTACCAAGTTTTTTCTGCATTTAAATAAATAAATAATTTGAAAATCAGCATATACAAAACTTAAAAAGGCAAGTAATTTATTAAACTAAAAGTTACTCAACAATTCTGTGATAAACAATGAATCCACCAGTTACCGCTTTTAAACTCATTTAATGCAACCATAGCGGCACACTCCTTCGCCTCTCTAAGCCAGGAATAAGACTGGTAAAGAGGGAAGGTTGGGCATGATGCTTGGCTAGCAACTCCATCCCGTGAAAATAAAATACGACTGCTATCGAAACTTCAAGTCTGTAGCTTGAAGCTCTGTGTTCCACTGGGAACGTAAAGGAATAACAAAAAAAAGTAGCGAAGAAGTCTTAGATTTATTAAACACTAAATTTCACTGGTTTTGCTATCCTACTAATGCTAATTTAGTAAGAATTACATACTTTCTCAAGTTTACTCTAGTAGATGCACAACACCACGCAAAATTCAAAGTCGATCTTCTTCATCAGTCGGCTGTATCTAAAATACAGGTGAATTACAAATATGAACAAGAAGTCTAAACTAATTGGATTTGCTTTCAATGATTTCGTTCGAAATAGTTTTTGAATTATCTGCTGCCACCTATCAGAATATTGTATTCCCCTATTGTTGTTGTTGTTCTTTTTAGGTTCTCGAATTCAGTTCACTTCAAAATAATGACCTCACCACTACTCCACTTCATAACTGCAGATTAAAGCCTAAAACAGAATGTAGTTGGATGGAAGAGTCGAATAAAACAACAGATCATATTACAGGCAAGACTAGTCTTCAAATTTCTACATCTATGCAAAATAATGATATAAAGTCAACAGACGATGATGTCCTTCCATCACACCTTCAAAATCCCATGTTTAATACAGACACAGGATCACCAACACAATATGCACTCTGTGGTGATGATATTGGTTGGGCTATAATTCAACGTCAACGAGAACTACGATTCCTGTGTACATCTAACCATCGAGTTCTTCGACGACTTGTCCAAGCAGCTAGACGAGATATGCAACGTCAAGAAATACAAAGACGTTTAGCAATTGCAGATGCTGATGTAAGTTTATTACCTATTTGTATTGATTACTTTATTGATTAAGGTGTGGAAAGAGGTACCCGAGGATTGGAAGAAAGAATACTCACTCAAACTACCAAAGAAAAGAGACTTGAGTCAATGCAAGAACTGGTGCGAAATTATGGTACTGTCCATCCCAAGCAAAATACTAAGCCGCTTCATCCTGGAGAGAATCAAACACGCCAACCCGGATGAAAAACTTCGACCGGAACAAGCTGGATTAAGGAGAAACAAGTCATGTATTGATTGATCAAATCGCCACACTACGTATCATCATTGAACAAAGCGTGGAGTGGCAGTCACCTCTCTATCTCACCTTCATCGACTTTGAAAAGGCCTAAGAGAGCGTTGGTCGAGAGGTGATTCGAAAACTACTTCTTTACTACGGGGTGCCGCCAGCAATTATACACTTCAACCAACAGTTGTAAGACAATGCTGCATGCCAAGTAATCCACAACGGGAAACTCACGAAATCCCATGAAGAAGTGAAGACGGAAGTAAGACAAGACCAGCTGGCTGCCTACTATCTCCAATGATTTTCCTGACTGTGGTGACGTGACCTAAGAAAACACTTGGAAGATCTGAACTTCGCCGATGATATGTGTCTGATTTCCCACGAACTGGAAGATATGCAAGTGAAAAGCGACAAGTTGGCGGAAGAAAGCATCGATGATGGGAAGGACTTCAAGTGAACATAAATAAAACAGAGGTGAAGATTCCTGGCCAACAGTAACAACAATCAGCCAGCATGAATGGGAGAAATCTGAAAGAAGCAACCTTCTTTACCTTCCTGCCTGGAAAGCATCGTTTCAACTACAGGCGGACGGAACTGACGAGGATATGAAAGCAGTGAGGATCGGGAAAGCAAGGCAAGCCTTCATTTCTCTCAAGTCTGCGTGGAGGTCAACAGCACTACTCAGCATGAAAATAAGATGTGGATTTTCAACTCCAATGTGAAGTCAGTGCTACTTACTATGCGGATCAGAGACTTGCATTGCGTGTCAAGAAGGGCACTTCAAACAAACTACATACCTTCATCAACATCTGTCTTCGCTCAATGCTGAAGATCAGATATCAGAAAATATCAGCAACAGTGATGGATCTCTGGCAATGAGAAAACCAACCCAGTAGAAACCGATTGTGAAACAAATATGCAGGAAGAAATGGAGTTGGATGGGCTGGCCATACTCTGAGAAAGTAAACCGTCAAGTGAGTGACATCACACGCCAGGCTATCTCTCGAGTGGAACCCGAATGGGAAGCGGCCAGTTCGTCGTCACTGCGGGGGTGACATGGAGGAGGAGGTCATGTGAAGAAGAGATGAAAGCATGTGGGCAGACTTGGAGCCAGGTGAAAACATTGGCAGAGAACCAAACGCAATGGACACGTTCGGCTGAAGCCCTATGTTTCTCTCTAGGTGTTAAAGCAAATAATAATATGGTAATAATTGATTATTTTACTCTCTGAAAAAGAACGCCAATCTTTTTTTCTCTATATATTATCCAATGCTCTATTATTATTTGTTTTTGTTTATCCAGGTTATTGAAGCGTATAATAAACTTGAAAGTTATCGTCCACAACGTAGGCCTCCTTTGAAACGTGATCGTGATATGGCTTGGAAAGCATTGAAGGAACGTCGTAAAATACTCAAGGAATTGGAAGCATTCGATGCTAAGTCTCCTTAATACTACTACTAATAATAATAATAATATGTGATGATTAGATATAATTTTATTGTATTTTCCAAATGTGTACATAGTTAAAAGCCTTTTCTTCCTCTTAAATGTAATATAAACCTAATATTTCAACCTTAACCCCGTATTACTTTATGCGCAAAAGACTCAGTTTACATACCTTCAAGGAAATTTGTTGTCTGTCCTACTTCAGAATATGTATATATATGCATATGCTGGGGTGGTGTACCCGACGTCTTTAATAGTTTTATGTTTATTTATCTTCACTAAAACTTGTATTGTACAGATATTATTTTTAAAAAAATATGTGTGTGTCTACACACACCTAGCAGTAAGTTGGGGGTTACCAGCAGTCTTCTTTGTGTTCTTATTTCCCTGATACACAGTTCTCATTATATTGTCATCATTTTATCTATCCTTCTTTTGTTTTGTCTAAATATATATATGCATATTGCATATAAGCATATTGCAGCTATTGTATTTCTGTTGTAATATGTGCGTGTGTGTAGTATTATGTTATGATTCATCACAAATTGGTAGTCGTTAAATAATAATAATATAAGTATTTGTGCTACCTATCAAATATTCTTTCTGCCTGATGAATGATGAAATAACTCTGATAGTAATATACAACTGCATGTATGTTTTGCTTTCATTCATATAAGAATAAAACTTGTGCACTGTGGCGGTAGAGTGTAATTCCATTATGGGTAAAATTTTGTTTTGATAAAGTCTCACAGTGTTGTTATACAGTAATGTTTACTGATGACCACGTTTCGAGCACAATTTATTACTGCTCATAATCATGTCAAGGTAATCACACAACTTCCTAACATCATTTATATAGTTCCATTATGCTTCACTTGATTTGATTGGTAATAGTATTTTCCATATTTCAGGTATAAATAATGAATCATTCCTATTGCACGTGTTGGGTGTAGACTCGATGAACAAGGATTCAGTAATCAACCTCTCTCACTCTCCACCTACATAGATTACTTTTTAGAATTTTAACCCTCTCCCATCCTATTATGTGGTAATGCATGCAGTGCAATGTAGTGGAGTTCTTCTCTAAATTACTTATCTTCTCTGGGTCAATCATTCTTACCTTAGTTAAATTATTATGTTCCGACAGTCTGATTACCCCGATCTACTAGTTTAACGTATGCAGTTGAACTCACTCACAGTGATTGCAGGGTATTTTGTACATTATATTATTTTGTCTAATCGAGTCAACCGACAGGGTGCTTTAACCTACACAGCTTGTCCCTGAGTGAGTGAGTTTGTAGGTTTAAATGCCACCCTAATTCCTGCTTTATTTAGAATCCTATGTAGTTTTTTTTTCCTGATTGCTGAATCAAATAGTTAGCACCTAAAATGTTTTGGTTGAGTTTTCAGCTGAAATGGTAACTACCTCTAAACATTAAAGTAATCCTATTTTATGAAATGCTCACAATCAGATGCTTACTCTTTGATTCAGTAATCAGGAAAAAAAACTACATAGGATTCTAAATAAAGCAGGAATTAGGGTGGCATTTAAACCTACAAACTCACTCACTCAGGGACAAGCTGTGTAGGTTAAAGCACCCTATCGGTTGACTCGATTAGACAAAATAATATAATGTACAAAATACCCTGCAATCACTGTGAGTGAGTTCAACTGCATACGTTAAACTAGTAGATCGGGGTAATCAGACTGTCGGAACATAATAATTTAACTAAGGTAAGAATGATTGACCCAGAGAAGATAAGTAATTTAGAGAAGAACTCCACTACATTGCACTGCATGCATTACCACATAATAGGATGGGAGAGGGTTAAAATTCTAAAAAGTAATCTATGTAGGTGGAGAGTGAGAGAGGTTGATTACTGAATCCTTGTTCATCGAGTCTACACCCAACACGTGCAATAGGAATGATTCATTATTTATACCTGAAATATGGAAAATACTATTACCAATCAAATCAAGTGAAGCATAATGGAACTATATAAACGAAGTTAGGAAGTTGTGTGATTACCTTGACATGATTATGAGCAGTAATAAATTGTGCTCGAAACGTGGTCATCAGTAAACATTACTGTATAACAACACTGTGAGACTTTATCAAAACAAAATTTTACCCATAATGGAATTATGTTTTGCTTTGCTTGAAGAATATAATATTTGATGATATGATTTTCCTTTAATTGTGTGGTTACTAGAACTTTTTTCTTTCATGTCAAGTTTATTACTATTAAACACTTGAAATGGCCTCGTTACTTTTGTTTCTTTCTTTTTCCTTGACAAAGAGTTAATTCTTTTGACAATAAAAAGGAATATTTCCAAGGGAAGTGTGTGTGTGTGTGTCATTTAAATTATAAATTTTACATCACAGATTTCGTTAGTTGGTTTAAAACTAAAAGTTACATTAAATAAGTGGCTCAAACTGTCTACGAGCTCTCTTTGTAACCAAAAAGATCCTGGGTTTGAGCTTCACTCGGTGCGTACACTGATGAGACGTCCCAGATTAGTGGGACGAAACTACTGTCGAGTACTCCCAACTGGTTTTCCAATAGCCCTCTAACCGATTTCAGTTCATAATGAAATAAATCGTGAAACTAATCAAATCCCTGCAAACCAACATTTAAAAATGAGCAAGTTGAGTGAAGTAATCTAATTGACAGACACAAAGTTGAGTAGAAAGCTCAGCTAAAAATTAAAATTGGACTGAAATCAAATTAACAACAGTGATGATTAGGAGTAAAGATTTAATGATGGATACGAGAAGAAAATATTATACAACTAAGAAAGAAACCAACAAGCAAGAGAAAGACGAAATAAAAATTACGTGTTTGGTATTAAGGTAGGTTAGGTCCACTGTAGATTTAATGACTAAACAACATGTGAATCGCCAGTGCTTCTGCGGTCAGAAGCATTTTTGTTTTACTTTGGCATTCCAATGTTAATTAATGATTTGGGAGTGAATTGTTTGTTTTCTTTTCCATTTTCTTTGTGCTTCATATTCAGTGTATTACTACTAGATTCACTGTGAAGAGACCTGTTCTTATTTATTATTTTCTTGGTTTTTTTTCTTCCTTTACGGTCCTAGTAGATCATAGGGCTTCAAACTAGAGCTTTGAAGCTCAGGTAGCAGTCGTGGGTCTGCTAGCCTTATGTTTAACCTCCCCCTTCTCCGCCAGTTCAGCGAGGTTTATTAGTGCGTCGGCCAAGGATCGAACCCCGGATCACATGTGTGGTTGGCGAGCATTCTATCGCTAAGCCACTGATGCGCGATAGCCATATTATAAGATTAAATAAAATTTATTGACATCAATTTAGGTCAATTAGGTAGGAGGATATTTTACTGATTTCACTTAGATTACACCTTTAGAGGCAATTCCTAAATGAAGTCACTCACTTATTCTATACACTTTACTTTTCTAATGATTATCCAGTTGATATGCATTTGTTGTAAAATCCCTGAATAAGCGAGTTCCTTTTTCATCATAACAATAAAAGTTTAGTAATTTTAAAAGTTAGGGATCTCACAGTGAAAACTCCTAGACCTAGGGTTTGGTGCTTATGGGCTCTCATTTAAAAAACAACAAGCATTGATAACATCAAGGAGACTCTTATTCCTTCTGAGACTGAATAAATTTCCGTCATTTTATGCAGGTGGAAACAAGTTTGATTACTACTCTACTTTTCAGTTCATATACTCCGGTGATAACCATAAAAGACGTGTTCTCCAACTCAACAATTCTCAGATTAAATCTTTCACAAACATCCCAGTCATCACTTGTATACTTTCTGAAAAGACTGTCTTATCGTGTTATCACCATTAGCTGACATCAGCTAGAGAACCACTGGAAAACCTGGGAGTACTGGGCAGCTGTTTCGTCCTAGTTTGGGACTCTTCATCAACGGTACGCACCCACCGGGGTTTGAACCCAGGACCTTCTGGTTACAAGGCGAGCTCGTAGACCATTGAGCCACTGGGACCCAATCCAATGGTGGGCACATACTGCTGAAGAGTCCCAAACTAGGAAGAAACAGTTGTTCAGTACTCTCAGGTTTTCCAATGGTTCTCTAACTGATGTCAGCCCATGATGAAATCCTCCATGCAATCAAACAAAATCCCAACAAAACCAACGCTTCAAAATTATCGTGTTTAGCTCTTATTTGTTGATTATTAAAACAACAATCTTTTTCAATCAGTAATTTTCTCAACAAATGTGGTCATCAGTTAGCTTATCATTCAAAAACTATTCCCATCAGGTATTTATTTTTTTAATATATAAGTTTAAGGAGTTAAATCCCATCATTCTTAGTGACAATAAATTCTTAACCTTAATGGTTTACTGTAGTAACTGGTAGGACTGTTTTATTTTATTTCTTTTAATATTTCTTTTTGAAAGATTTGGTATGACGAATAACTGTGTGTCTTCTTGTAATCGTCGACGCTCAGTAATATACTGTTAGTTTGTCTGAATGCTCATAAAAGTCGTTTTGGAAAAGACTACTACAACTGTCGTCCTAAAAGATAAACGCGTGATAAATTCTCATGTAGTTGGAAATATTTAACCCCAGCATCTATTGATAAGTCTAATTTTGTGAACAGGATAAAGTTAAAATTACGTTGGCTACATACACTAAGTTGATTTCTCTGCATGCCAATTAATCCCCGACGGGAAACTCACGAAATCCCATGAAGAAGTGAAGACGGAAGTAAGACAAGACCAGCTGGCTGCCTACTATCTCCAATGATTTTCCTGACTGTGGTGACGTGACCCAAGAAAACACTTGGAAGATCTGGACTTCGCCGATGATATGTGTCTGATTTCCCACGAACTGAAAGATATGCAAGTGAAAAGCGACAAGTTGGCGGAAGAAAGCATCGATGATGGGAAGGATTTCAGGTGAACATAGAGAAAACAGGTGATGAACATTCCTGGGCAAGAACAACAACAATCAGGATAAATGGGAGGAACCTGAAAGAAACAACCTCTTTTACCTACCTACCCACCTGGGGAGCATCGTTTCAACTACAGGCGGACGGAACTGACGAGGATATGAAAGCAGTGAGGATCGGGAAATCAAGGCAAGCCTTCATTTCTCTCAAGTCTGCGTGGAGGTCAACAGCACTACTCAGTATAAAAATGAAAATAAGATGTGGATTTTCAACTCCAATGTGAAGTTAGTGCTACTTACTATGCGGATCAGAGACTTGCATTGCGTGTCAAGAAGGGCACTTCAAACAAACTACACACCTTCATCAACAACTGTCTTCGCTCAATGCTGAAGATTAGATGTCAGAAAATATCAGCAACAGTGATGGATCTCTGGCAATGAGAAAACCAACCCAGTAGAAACCGATTGTGAAACAAATATGCAGGAAGAAATGGAGTTGGATGGGCTGGCCATACTCTGAGAAAGTAAACCGTCAAGTGAGTGACATCACACGCCAGGCTATCTCTCGAGTGGAACGCGAATGGGAAGTTTCGAGTTAGTCGTCCAAGACTGACTTGGAGGAGGTCATGTGAAGAGGATATGAGAGTATGTGGGTAGACGTGGAGTGAGATGAAAGCTTTGGCAGAGAACTGAACGCAATGGAGACTTTCGGGTGAAACCCTATACTCTTTTAGGAACTAAGGGAAAATCGTAGTAAAATAAGTTGATTACTACACACTGAAAATGCTGCTGTTTGAAGAATATGGGCGCTGGACTTAGAAAAGTTAGACATGGATTTAGATTGATAGTTGAATAGAGGTACAACTTATTGACAGATGAAAGGTGATAGGTATCTTTACTTTGCACCTTCCTTTGATTGTCTTTTTCTCAGTCTAGGTGTTAGATGATTCGACTGTGGTTATTTCAGATTTCTATGATCTCTTAATAAGTCGGATATGACCTGTATTAGATAATTATCTGTTCACTTGGTACTTGTGTAAGACATATATGATTTTTGTCTCAATTGACTAAAATTGTTATTCTTAAATCGAATGTAGATTTTCAATAAATTCAAAATTTTTCTGTTAATTCGGATACTAATTGGTCATGAAAGAATCTTTACAAATAAAATCTTTCATAAAAATATTGATCAAATTGTTACACTGTGACATATGAAAAAGGAGCTTTATTTTCTTGTTCTTTTTGTTCAGATGGTTAACAGTCCACTATACTATACTTTATGTGTCGTTGATCTATACTTTCCGGTATCTCTCGTATACCACAGGAACCTTTATTTACGACATTTATAAAATGTAGACAGCATCTGTAATCTAATTTTGGCATTGTCTAAGACTGAATTATGATATGTGTATAGTTTACGTTTACGAGTTGAGAAACTCATCGAGTCATCTATGACTTTTAAAAAAAATTATGTATTCATGTTTGTGACCTCCCAAACGACGTAGTGGATAACACTATGACTTCTGAATCGATAGGTACTCAGTCGGAGTCTCGAATACAGGACCGGACTACACTGACTCCTAGTTTAGAAATAGGAAGTGAAGTGGTAGAGCACGTTGACCGCTTCACTTATTTGGGAAGTACCATCAGCCAGCCCCAACCCGTTGATCTCTGACGAAATCTCAGTACGGACACAGAATGCTCGTTTCGCATATGCCAGTTTACACCCTCTCTGGCGTAGACGAGATATCCGACTATCGACCAAAAGGCGTGTGTACTGCTCATCAGTCCGCTCCGTCCTCCTTTATGGCTGCGAGACCTAGCCATTGAGAGTGGAAGACATGAAAAGGTCAGCTAGCTGTTTTCGATCATAGGCGTATGTGCTCTATCTCCCGTGTAAAGTGGCATAATAAGGTGAGCAATATTGAGGTTAAGCGTCGAGTTCTAGGTGAGGAGGGGAAATCAATCGACGAGGCTGTGAAATTACATCGACTGAGAGAGATGGTTAGGTTACGTATGCTTAGTCATCGCCTTCCTCGACCTACAGGCCATGTTAGCTGACATAGGGTCAGACTGGAAAAAAAGCTAGCAGCGGTCAAACTAAAACATGGTACCAGTCAATGAAATTCACAACAGTTAGTTTAAGCTAGACACGTAGGAAGGTGTAGACTTCCTGATTGGTTGGTGTCCTCGGACGGTATAAAACCAATGAAGGTTGGAAACAATTGGTGATATGGCTCAAAATCGTTCTCGGTGATGGCACAGATGCATCCACTCCTTGTGACTTATGATTTCCAATGAAACTATATTGTTCTTCGTTATTACTATTCCTTTGTATCACACGTCTGTTTACTGTCTCTGTTATGCGTTTCTTCTATTTTCTTCTGTTGCTTTGTGTGCTACAAAGAGTGGAGTGTGGCGACTTGAACTGCTGCACATCGGAAACAGATAGAAGTCTCGATAGGGACAAAATCATGTACTGGGGAAGAGGGGTTGCAGGTACATCTGGCTGACAAGCCCCAAGTGGAATTTTACTGTTAGCTAATATCAAAAGTTTATGGACCATATTCATGAATTAATCCTGTGGAAATAAAGTACAGTAATACAGTAAAGTTAGGGTATCATGCTTGAGGAAACTTCACAGTTGCGTTAGGTGTCTTAATCCACTTAACTAGACATATGTTGTTAAAATTCACTAATATGTATAACATAGTTCTGTGTGCATTTTGAATTGTTTACGTTAATATTTCTTTCGATTACTACATTATTAGTAGCAAGGAACTTCATTTTGCATCCATTTTGTTAACAGTTTCGTTACACGTTTTCTAATACTATTCTGTATTATTGTCTAATCTAACTGTGACTAATCTTTTTAATTCTATTTCAGAATACTTTGTGGCAGCGATTTTTCATCAAGTCTTGTCGTCTATTCAGTAGGAGATCTTTATGGAATGTATATACTTCGAGGTCATTCATTATACCATTAAGCAGGTTTTCATATAACCATAATCAGCAAAAAACCTCTGATCATTCAAGACTGCTTGTCAAAACAGCTTTCGCTACTGCATTCCTCACAAAGATTTGGAAAGACGAAGAAGAAGAACAAGAAGATGAAACCAATCTCTCCGAAAATTTGAATAGTTTACATACTCCAATAGTTGCTAAATGTGCAGAAATTGTAAAACCAATACCTAAAGACAGACAAGCTGCAATTAAAGCTCTCGATGTGGTTGCAGATGTCGCGCAGGATGTACAACCAGCGGTTGTTTCAATTACCAGTACCGAGTTAGTTAATTTGACAATTTTTTTCAACTGTATTTTCGTTATTAGAGCTATTATTATATTATTAATTTTCCCTTGGGTTCCTAGTGCAACATAGGGTTTCAACTGCACGTCTCCACTTGCTTCTATCTTCTACTGTACTTTCCACCTGCATCCATGTTAGTCCATACTGTTTCAATTCCTCTTCACACCATCTCTTCCATGTCACCCTTGCAGTGACGACCCACTCGCCGCTTCCCTTTCGGCCTGGTTCCACTCAAGCAATGGCCTGACGCGCGCGCGATGTCATCCAGTGGCCTCCTCAGCGAGTGTCCAATCCATCCCCATCCACTTTCTCCTGCATATTTGTTGGTTGGCGATTGCTTCTTGTTTTGTTTGTTTGTTCCCAGCCACAGTTTCTTGTTGGTGATTGTTTCCGGCCCGGTCATCTGATCTTCAGTATAGATCCAGCGAAGACAGTTGTTGGTTGATAAAGGTCCGCATGCAACAGGCTATTGGAAATATTCTTTGTGAGGTTTGATTGCCATTCCATGCTTTGTTCGATGATAATGCGTAGAGTTGCAATTTGGTCAGAACATGATTTGCCTTTCCTTAATCCAGGAATGATGCGACTCAGGATTTTACTTGGCGTCGACGAGAGCATGATTCCTCGTCAGTTCTTGCAGACTCCTAAATCTCCCTTCCTTGGTAGTTTCACGAGGTAACCTTTCCCCCAATCAGTAGACACCTTTCCCTCCTTCCAGACCTTTTGCAATAATGGAGTCAGGATATCTTCTGTCGTCTCTGGGTCCGCTTCCAGTGCTTCAAGGAGTATTCCATCTGGTCTAGCTGCTTTTCCAGCTTTCAGAAGCTTGATTGTATTCAAGACTTCAACTTTCGTTGGAGGATTGGTGTCAACTTGCAGTTGTGTGTGCGCTGTTGTTGGTATTTCTGGACGGGTTGCGGGTGGTGGTTGGTTCAAGAGTCCTTTGAAGTGATCCGCCCATTGTTTAGTCTGTCTTTCTTCCTTGGCGATTGGGTTCCCTTGGCTGTCTTTTATAGGTTTCACTTGTGTTGGTCTCTTCCCCGATAGGTACTTGGTTATCTGATATAGTATCCTCAGGTCCCTTTTGACTGCTGCCTTCTCAGCTTCAGTGGCGAGGTTATCGTAGAATTGTCTTTTGTCCTTCCTAGCCCTCTTCTTCACTTCTTTGTCCAGTGCTGTGTAAGTTGAGCTCAGTATCTCTTTCTCTTGTCCGTCTTTGCTATTAGTATCTATAAAGAATTTTTTATTGATAATTAGAGTAATAATCAAATTTGTCTGTTAACCAGTTCACAGATTTCGATTATCAGTATCAAAATTACAGTGGAAATGCTTCTCAGTAGTTCACATCATTTTTTAGACGTCTCTTTGATTATGTGCATGGAAAAACAGAGTTTGTTGTCAGTCCCTTTGAAATTATTTAAAACTCTGTGATTAATTCCTCCCTATAAATGCAACTCTTACACTAGTCAGCTTCTCCTTCCTACCTCCGACGTTGTTTAATTCCTGTGATTCAGTAATATTTATTGTTGCTTCGCATACATACATTCGGAGGAATTAGTTCAATACTTTTCTATGAACTAGTTGCCCCTTTCTATTTCACATCATATATATTTAGTGATTTCATATTCTTTCGTTTGTAAAGTTAAATGCTTCCTGTTCATTATCTCTCCTTATTGTTTTATTCATTTACGTTCCCACTGGGACACATAGCGCTTCAAGCTGGAGGCTTGAAGTTTCGGTAGTAGTCGTATTTATTTTTACGACATGGGGTTGTTGGCCTCATGCCCAACCTTTCCTCTTTTCCAGCATTATTCCTGGCTTAGCGAGGTAAAGGAGTGTATCTGTCGGGGATCGAACCGTGAACCACCTGTGAATTGGTTGACGAGTATTCTACCGCTGTGTCACCGACGCATTTACCTCTCCTTAGGGGACACCTATCCCTTTATTGGCTGGTGTGTTTTTTTTTTATTTTTGATTTACAGCTTGATTCCACACTGTATTTTTGGTACAAGTATGGAATTTTCAGCATGGATATCGGTAGCCTAAATTTTGCAGGCCGACCATAGATATCAGGTGTGCTCCGGCGTGGGCTCGAACCCCGGACCATGTGCATGGTCGGCGAGAGTCCTAACCACTGTGCCACCGACGCATTTGTAGTAGTTAGTTTGTATTCAGAAATTTGTTACTCTTGAATGTATGGACCTTTAGAAACCAATCATTTTCAGAATTCTTGACCTCAGAATTTAATTAAAGTCACTTATGCTTTGTTCGTAACGAATTGATATCCCAGAAGCTTTAAAGTATACCCCTTTTTTTCCTCGAATTTTCCAATATTTTAGTTACTATCAATATCATTATTTATATTTGGCGTAATAAGACATCGCTTGATAACTTGATTTTTCTTTAACCTTTTTTTTTATATTTAGCAAAGGTTTCCTTTCCCTACAAACACGTTCAACTGGTTCAGGCTTTATTGTGGACAATTCAGGTCATGTAGTGACAAATGCTCATGTGGTTGGCTATCGGGGTGATGTTATGGTTCATCTATGTGATGGTCGTTCATTTCCTGGTAAAGTTCTAGCAGTTGATGTATCCTCAGACTTGGCACTTATTCGAGTTAGTGGTAATTTCTGTTGTCTCACTAACTAGTTAGTCTTTTTATTTACATGTTAATAATCAATTTATCACAAATAAAATTTCTGATGTTAAGAAAGCATTAGACGTCTAAAATACTTTGACATGATTTGCTATAGTACACATAGCAACCGTAATGTCGTAAGTATTATTGTACTCTATTACTCCTCCAAAAAAGACCGAACTACTAATAGAGTCTTAATTTTATTCAAGTATAAACCGTAAGAGTTTAAAAGTATTTACACTGCTAAGTTAGCAATTAACTCTTAACCTGTCTGTCTGTCTGTTTTCGACGTAGAACTTTGCACCGATGTGCACCAGTTCAAGTCGCCACACTCGCTCCTTATAGCACACAAAGCAACAGAAGAAATGAATAATATAGAAACAGTAAACAGAGGTATGAGACAAAGGAATAGTAATAACGAAGAACAATATAGTTTCATTGGAGATCATAAGTCACAAGGAGTGGATGCATCTGTGCCATCACCGAGAACGATTTTGAGCCATATCACCAATTGTTTCCAACCTTCATTGGTTTTATACCGTCCGAGGACACCAACCAATCAGGAAGTCTACACCTTCCTACGTGTCTAGCTTAAACTAACTGTTGTGAATTTCATTGACTGGTACCATGTTTTAGTTTGACCGCTGCTAGCTTTTTTTCCAGTCTGACCCTATGTCAGCTAACATGGCCTGTAGGTCGAGGAAGGCGATGACTAAGCATACGTAACCTAACCATCTCTCTCAGTCGATGTAATTTCACAGCCTCGTCGATTGATTTCCCCTCCTCACCTAGAACTCGACGCTTAACCTCAATATTGCTCACCTTATTATACCACTTTACACGGGAGATAGAGCACATACGCCTATGATCGAAAACAGCTAGCTGACCTTTTCATGTCTTCCACTTTCAATGGCTAGGTCTCGCAGCCATAAAGGAGGACGGAGCGGACTGATGAGCAGTACACACGCCTTTTGATCGATAGTCGGATATCTCGTCTACGCCAGAGAGGGTGTAAACTGGCATATGCGGAACCAGCCCTCTTAACTCCTAACCATTTTGCTCATGTTCATGTTTTTAACAATGAATCATCTGTTGCATTATTTAACAGCTTGAAGGTAGAATGACGGCATCAAAGAGCTACTTTGTTCCTCCTTTAATGCAATAATCTGTTGAACATTAAACAGTGCTGTGAGATGCATACGACATAAGGAAAAAAAAGAATTTTAATCACTATTCAATCATCTATATTTAAGAAATTCATTCTATATTTTCTATAAAGTAGTTCATTGAACTAATGAACTAGTGTGGAATGCAGTACATTTACATGTTTCGTATTATTCTACTGATGATACAAAGTATTTGTTGAATTTGTTCTGTTATGCATCCCATGGACTGTATAAGGAAGGAAGAGATATTCAAGATAGTCATTTAGCAAACTTCATGGATAATCCTCATCCAGGCATTAAAGAAAAGAAAACACGTTGATCAGCGAATTCATTTACTTACCTGTACAACTGCAAATATATATATGTGTTATTTATTTTGTGTGTATATGTACATTAAGTTTGTCAAACAAAATTACAATTGGTTATGGTTATTTTAACCAAACAGGTGAAGATTGGTAATACAAGTCAAGAAAATTAGGTGTTTATTAAATTAGGGTAGTAACAAAGGTGATAGGTTGTCACAAAAAGTTGTTAAAAAAGAAGTTATGTAATGATATGAATAGTTTGATGATTGAGTTTTACTCAGGATGCACATAGGAACAAAGTAGAGAATAAGAAATTACGTAAGAGTTCTAAATGAATACAAGAATTATAAGCAGTTAGAGAAAAAAATTAAGTTATCAAAATCAAAAAAGTTGTTACCATGACAGTAGAAGTGGTTGAGTAATTCTCTTTTGTATGTACAGTTCCGGTTTTTCTATGTGGATGGCCAGAGCTTCAGCGATACAAAGAAGACGAAACCGTATTGCCTTTGATAGGTTATTCTTGACTCTGTAGATTACTTTGAAGTAGGAGGCGTTTGTTGAAAAGGAATGATCAGTGTTAACTAGGTGTTCAATTATCGCGCTCCTTATAGCACCACTATTGCTTTTTCGCAACCGTGCTGGATGGTGTTCTTGAATCCTCTTGGACGGGTGCGCGTCGAACGACCGATGTACCTGGCTCCACCGCGGCAAGTGAACTGATATTTTCACATAAAAGTGGTCAGATGCTGGATCTTGTCCCTGAGGCTTCTGCAGATCAGTGGGCGACTGGAGAACACCATTCTTAGTGTTGCTGCAAAGAATGCTCTTCTCAGAGATGATGTAGTCCTTCTCTTGAGAATATCGCTTGTTAAATCTCCCTTGAAATCGAAGTTCATATAGAGTTTCTTTTTAGGCGCAGTTAAAGTTTCGTTTCTCCGAATTCTTGGTTTGATATTTTTGTGGATGAATCATATTGGGTATCCATTTTGGGTGGAGATTTCTCTCAGAAGATCTAATTCTGTTTCTAGAACCTCTGGACTACAGATGCGTCGGATGCGGGTGGCAAAGGATTTAATTAAATTCCGCTTTTGTTGAATGGGTACCCAGCTATAGAAGCTTGTTAGCTAACCGATTCAAGTAGCTTTTCTTAGATCGATCTTATTAGGCTCCCATCAGTTCTTCTCTTCTTTGTTCCTATGTGCATCCTGAGTAAAACTCAATCATCAAACTATTCATATCATTGCATAACTTCATTTTTACAACTTTTTGTGACAACCTATCACCTTTGTTACTACCCTAATTTACTAAACACCTAATTTTCTTGACTTGTATTACCAATCTTCACCTGTTTGGTTGAAATAACCATAACCAATTGTAATTTTGTTTGACAAACTTAATGTACACATACACAAAAAACAAATAACATATATATATATATATATATATATATATAAATTTGCGATTGTACAGGTAAGTAAATGAGTTCGCCGAAAAGGGACTCTTCACTGATCTAAGTGTTTTGTTTTTATTTAGCAAACTGTTACTGTTTTACGAATTATGTTATCAATTTTACTAAAAATCGATAGGTTCCAGCAATTAGATATAGCATACTGCTTACGGCGAGCTGTCATCTGAACTGATGACGACCAGTGGTGTCCGTCAAGGATGTCCATTATCTCCTTTTCTATTCAACTTCATCATAGATGTGTTAATGGACTTAACCCTAGGTGACTTCAGCGATTCAGGGATTGACTTGCTACCTGGGAATAATCTCGTTGGCTTGGAATATGCAGACGATATAGTCCTTCTAGGCGAAGACGCTGACAAAATGCAGAGTCTTCTAAACACCTTGAACAGCAATCTACGGATGTTTGGCATGCGATTCGCTCCCGCCAAATGCAAGATGATGTTACAGGACTGGACTACATCGACGCCTAGTTTAAAAATAGGAAGTGAAGTGGTAGAGCACGTTGACCGCTTCACTTATTTGGGAAGTACCATCAGCCAGTGCCAACGGGCTGATCTCTGACGAAATCTCAGCACGAATACAAGGGGCTCGTTTCGCATTTGTTAGTTTACGCCGACTCTGGCGTAGACGAGATGTTCGACTATCGACCAAAGGGCGGGTGTACTGCTCATCAGTCCGCTCCGTCCTCCTTTATGGCCAGCTGGGAGACCTGGTCACTGAGAGTGGAAGACATGAAAAGACTAGCTGCCTTTGATCATAGGTGCCTGCGTTCTATTTCCCGTGTAAAGTGGCATAATAAGGTGAGCAACATGGAGGTTAGGTGTAGAGTTCTAGGTAAACAGGGGAAATCAATCGACGAAGTCGTGAAGCTACATCGACTGAGATGGTTAGGACATGTGTTACGTATGCCAAGTCATCGCCTCCCTCGACGAGCTATGTTAGCGGATATAGGGTCAGGCTGGAAAAAAGCTAGCGGCGGTCAAACAAAAACTTGGCATCAGTCAATGAAATCCACAACAGTTGGTCTTAGCCACGTAGGAAGGTGTAGACTTCCAGGCTGGGGTCCTCGGGACGGTAAAAACCAATGGTTGGAAACAATTGGTGACATGGCTCAAAACCGTTCTCAGTGGCGCAGATGCATCCACTCCCTGTGACTTATGATCTTCAATGAAACTGTTTTGTATTTCTTTATTACTCCTTTGTCTCACACCTCTGCTCACTGTTTCTATTATGCCTTTCTTGTACTTTCTTCTCTTGCTTCGCGTGCTACACGGAATGTGGCGACTTGAACTTCCGCACATTTGTGCAAAGTTCTATGTCGAAAACAGACAGACAGACAGACAATTAGATATAGGGACAGATAATCGGATTCATTGCATCGGATTGTAGTGGTGTATTTGTTTTTACATTGTGAATTGACAGAAGTTAGAATTTATGAGTCACTTGATTCGAACTCAAAAGCTGAATGGTAATGTGCTCTTCTAATCGTCTGAGGATCTTAGAAGTGTGTGGGCGGTTGTTACCTCCCGGCTGCTGCCCACACCGTGTAAGTTGCTTGATTCTTCGGGTACGTGAAACAGAGAGAGGGTTAGTGTTTCGTGACTGCAGAGCCCAGGGGACAACTGCTTGAGGCCGGTCACACACGGCCTGTATGAGCTGGTTTCTTGGTTTGGTTCCGTATTAGTAAACTTACCGTTGGTTATGGACCACTTTGGGGTAAGTCGGGATGTGCAATTTTTGGGGTCTACCTTTTCTAACCCCTCTCTCCAGAGTGGAGAGGCAGCATAGCTGGCTAGCACGCTGGTCATCTGAGGGAAACACCTCACTGTTGTTCTCAATGGCGCAGATGTATCCACTCCTTGTGACTTATGATTTCCAATGAAACTATATTGTTCTTCGTTATTACTATTCCTTTGTATCACACGTCTGTTTACTGTCTCTGTTATGCGTTTCTTCTATTTTCTTCTGTTGCTTTGTGTGCTACAAGGAGTGGAGTGTGGCGACATGAAGTGGTGCACATCGGTGCAAAGTTTCATGTCGAAAACAGACAGGCAGACAGACTGAGGATCTTAAACTTGATTTCTTAAGAGGTCGTTGGTATGCACTGCTAAACATATATAGACTAGGACAATAAAGCTGTTTAGGGTTATATCACTAAACAGTTGACAATTTTGCTAAATAAGGGAACAACTAATTGAATAATCTAACAGACATAAGCTCATTAAAGTCGTCTATACGTTTGTCATATTGACTATAAGAAACTGGCTAACATAAAATTTCTCAAACCCAATTAAAGAACCTATTATCAAATTCAAGTGTTGGTTTGTAGGGATTTGATTGGTTTCAGGATTTCATCATGAGCTGACATTAGTTAGAGAACCATTGGAAAACCTGAGAGTACTAGACAGCTGTTTCGTCCTTGTTTGGGACTCTTCAGTAGTACGCACCCACCGGGATTCGAACCCAGGACCTTCCGGTTACAAGGCGAGCTCGTATACCATTAATCCACTGGGACCCGATCCAATGATCTTTGAATTCTAACTTCTGCCAATTCACGACATAGCGCGACCGCTAGCCAATGTCTTCGGTGGCGAGTTATTTGTCCTCACACCCGACCAGCTGCACCCTACTGGTCACAACTTATCAAATTGTTGGGTCATTCATTACTGCATTCTGTGGAAGATTCCCTAGCTAGGATGAGTTTTTTCTTTCGCATTTTTAAAATAGTTCTTCAACGTATATTTTTTGGTCTTTGTAACGGCATCTACTTTGAAGTTAATCAAATCACTACTAACTATGAATCGATTTTGTGGTCATTACGTCACATCACTCACTCACATCACCAACATTAGTTTTATATGAATTGAAAGCCATCAGAGATTATTAGACATCTGTTTTGTCCTAGTTTTTTTTATTCTTCAGTCTGTGTGTCGGTTAAGTTCACCAAATCTCAAGGTAGAGTAGATGGTCGTCAATGGTATTGGTTGGTGGCAGCTCTCTATCACGAATTTATTTTATTTTTATTTTTGATTACAGGTTGATTCCACACTGTATTTTTGGTACAAGTATGGAATTTTCAGCATGTGATATCGGTAGCCTAAATTTTGCAGGCCGACCATAGATATCAAGTGTGCGTCGGCAGGGAATCAAATTCCGGATCATGTGTATGGTCGGCGAGAGTCCACTAACCACTGTGCCACCGACGCAACTCAATGATCACTGAAACTTGACCTAAATAAGTGGCTGAATGAACAAACAAGCTTGACCTCGTCCTGGGTTTGATCCATGGAGGTGTCCTGGATGCTCATTGATGAAGCGTTCCAATATAGGACGAAGTAGGCATTCAGTAATCCCTCATTTTTAACGGTTCTCAGACTGATTTTGGTTAGTGATGAGGTCTTTATTGGAATCAATAAATGACTATTGATAAAAGAGTTGATATGTGCTAAGAAACATTTGAAATGTAAATAATTATTTTTTATATTCTAATGCTATTTTTTGTTGGCATTTATAATTCTTAACTTGATGTCTCTTTTTGTTTATGCTAATTTATAGTTAGATGTAAAGAAGAATGTTGCTGAAAACCTTCCGCACTTACCAATGGCTGCTAATTTACAAAGAATTCGTCCTGGTCAATTTGTATTAGCCTTAGGTAGCCCATTAATGTTGGCTAACAGTGTCACAGTTGGTGTTGTATCTGCAGTCGATAGAGATCTTGGTCATTCAGAAGGCTTAAAATATATTCAAACTGATGCTATAATAACAGTAAGTTTTAAAAGTCCTCCATGTTCTGTGAACATCATCTTTTCTTATAATTTTGGATTATATCGTATTAAAAAGAAAGTGAGCAAAGTTCACAATGAATGGATTGAAAGACGTATTTAGTGTTTCTGACAGTTCTGGAATTAAGTTTTTCGCATTTCTGGCATCCTGAGTGGAACATATGGCTTTAAGATTTCAGTGGCGTTGCTTTTGCGAGGTCAGATTGATAGTCTGACTACCTAACCTCCTCTACTTTCCGGGCTTACCACTTGGTTAGTAAACTCAATGAGTGTATCGACTGGAAGTTGGACTCTGATCTCCCGCGTGAGTAACTGGCAGATACATATACTACCATTGACGCACAAAACTAACTTTAAAACTAATAAATTTAGTCTTCAGAATAAACACACACATCTTCAAGGAAAGTTTTTCTCTAGTGTAGTGTAAATAACAGATCGGATATTATATTTTCAAATCTATAAAAGCCAGTTCTGTCCTTATTTATTTTTTCAACAAATTCATCTGTACCTGTAAATGTCGAGAACTGATGACACATTTCTAAATTTTGAGTAAAGAAAGAAATAATTGTATGGGATTTCTAAACCAACTAATTCAAAGGTATTATCTTTTGTAGCATAATAATAAGAACAATTTACCAATGGTTTATTTTTAAATGTTATCAACTGTGTATATAGACAATAAATAAAGACGAAATCGCAGCACAGATCCAAAAAGCTCAAGCTGCTTTCGCTAACTTACGCCATCTCTGGCGTAGGCGTGACATCCGGCTGGCTATAAACCAAGAGATGTGTGTACAGCTCATCAGTTCGCTCCGTCCTTCTCTATGGCTCTGAAACATGGCCAATACGCGTTGAAGACATGAGAAGGTTGACTGCTTTCGATCATAGATGTCTGCGATCTCTTTCTCACGTTAGGTGGTTTAATAAGGTAAGTAATGTTGACGTTAGGCGTAGACTGTTGGGCAAAGAGGGAAAATCAATCGACGGGGCTATAAAGTCACATAGATTGAGATGGCTAGGTCAGGTGCTGAGCATGCCTAACCATCGCCTCCCCCGACGGGCATTGCTAGCTGATATAGGTGAAGGTTGGAAAAGAGTAAGTGGTGGCCAAACAAAAACATGGCCTCATCAATCCATGAAATCCTTGACAGTTAAACTGAGTCAGGTAGGGAGATGCAGACTTCCGGGTTGGGGCCCTCGGGACTCTAAGAATAAATAGCTGAAGACAATAGGTGACATGGCGCAGATATATTCAGTCTCTGTAACCGTTCATATTCTTTTCTACCATTAGCCATTCGGTTTCACTCTTATACTTCTCAAACTCTATTGATTCTCTTCACTCATCTTCCTGTCTACCTTTGTGAGCTATTTGGAACGTGGCAACTCCTACTGCTGCACTTCGGTGCCAAGTTCTACGTTGAACCCAGACAGACACACAGAGACAGACAATAAAAAAATTTTCTTTTGTCGATAAAGTCATCTTCAAAGACTCTATGAGTGTATTTCTCTTTACTAAAAACGTGTAGCAGCCTATTTTTGAGTAATAGGGATGTGTGTGCATGTCATAACTGATACAGTTACTTAGAATTTGTCTCTATAGAGAAAAATAAATCACACAATAATCCACAACACAGTAGAAAGTACAAGATGAAAATTGTCTTTAGAAGAGATTACCCCCTATAAGTGAACTTGTACTGCAGAGGATGTGGAGACTTCGGTTTTCCTCTTGGAATTCTCTCTTGTGTGTCCACACATTCATAGCCTATGCCAGGTAACAACCCTATTCACTGTCTTCACACGATTAATGAGGATGTTTCCAACAAAAGTGAAAGAACGAATCCAAACGTCTGGAATTTACAGTTGGACTGGTAGACATGCTGTAGTGAGAGCTGTCTGCTAGCCAAAATTGGTAGACAGCAATTTACGTCCCAAATCTTGGTCATGAGAAAAACCAAGAACGAAGCTTAACCTTGAGGAACTCACCAACCAATCACAGTAGATTTAACGTGTACAAATACGATTCACAGATATATGGTCTGACTTTCTAAGAAACGGTCACAAAAAGATGGCAGAATGACCTTCAACAAGGAAACAACCAAACAGAAGGCGTTGCTTCTCTGCTAACAATAACACTAATAATAATGTAAATAAAAATCGGTAAGTATCTGTTGACGTTCTCAATAAACGATCTGTTGCCTGACTCTTGTCGTCTGTCGCTACGATGCTAGTTTACCTAGAATAGTGAGCGAACATTTCCAGAATTCTTTTATCACGCTAGCAACAGAATTGTTATGGATATTACTAAATGTCGCCCGTAGCACATATAGAGCACCATATACCAAAGTTGAGTCAATCTTTTTTTTACCTGAAATGATATTTCGTCATTTAAAAATAACCCAACTGAGTTAACGTGTTTAGAACTTCAACTGAAACAAATAGTTAAGTGAGGAACATTATTGATTGTTATGTAAACGATGATTGCTCAGCTGCATAAAACTTCCCAGATTGTAGACGGAAGTATTGATTTATAATTGATTGACGTTTCGAAGTAAGTATAAACGGAGTGAAAATAAGTACAATACACTCGGCGTTGCAATCGAGAGTTATCGTTCCCTATTGTAAAATAGCAAGACAGATAAACCTGTGACTTTCATTTATTTTATGTAACATTCCGTTAGTATACAAAGGGTCAAAAAAAATTTTTCAGCTAAATCAATAAATCTTAATCTTCAGTGGTATTGCACTTACATTTATTTATTTTTATTTCACCTAAAAGTTTGGTAATTCAGGTGGTCCATTGGTGAATTTATACGGCGAAGTGATTGGAGTTAACGCTATGGTGGCAGGTACAGGAGTAGGATTTGCTATACCTGTTGATCAAGTTCGAAAATTTATACAATTGGCTTTATCAGCATCATCGAAATCTCGAAGTTCTTCACCGCTTACATCAAAATCGCCTACTGATCCATATATTTTAGCTGACAATTCAACTAGAACAGAAACTGGAACCCAACGTCGGTATTTAGGTTTAGTTATGCGAACATTGACTCCAGAACTGGCCTTCGAATTAGCTTCTCGTGGTGAACATCATTTTGTAGATGTGCATGACGGTGTCCTAATTCATGCTGTACTCAGAAACTCTCCAGCTCAAAGGTAACAGACCACCCACCCACCCCTCCTATTTATTATTTTTAAAGTTCAACTTATTGTTAAGTTACTATTATTCATGTGTTTATTTTACAAATGAGCAGTTTTTAAGCGTGTTCACTGTTTATATGAGTAATTATAGCAGTCTTTAGATTTCTTTAAAATCTCAACTTGCCTCAAGCAATCAATATAATTCATTATCAATGGAGGATAAGAACCCACACTAAAATATTGTCAATGACCTGCAGTAGCCACAAAACAACAATGGAATAATCTGAAATGCGGCTGAGGTGATTTCATTTGCAACAGAATGATGATCCCAAATGAGTTATTAAGAAGACAGTTGCAGCGAAGAAAATTTTCTTTTCGACTAAGTCATCATTTAAGCTGTACATTCGTATATTTATATCAAATGGATGGAGAAGTTCCAGAATAATTTCCGGTTAAGAGTCAAATTAATAAAAATTAGAATTAAAATGCCATAATGAACAGGGGGATGGATAAAACAAACAAAGTAGCATCATAATAACTAAGAAGATTGACATTGTGCAATTGGGGGTTAGAAACGTAGAAATAACAAAATAGACAGGATGTTTGGATAAAAAACTAATGTGATAAATAATTGTTTATGCAATCAGGGATTAAATATGTAGAAATAGTAATTCCATTATAGATAAGATTTTATTTTGATAAATCGCACAGTGTTTACAGTTATATGAACTGATGACGTTTCGAGCACAAACTATTGCTCATAATCATATCAAGTTACTCACACAACTTTGATCTCTCATTTATATACATATGTGGAATGGATTAGATATTGGATTAAAAATCAATGTGAGATAATGTACATTCAGAAATAATCGTACGAGTGTTGTTGATCAATTGCAATTAGATGGGAAAATTGGACGAGTGTTTTTACAGTCATAATAAGCTGCTTGTTAGAATGTGTTTGAATTGAAATAGAATTTTAAGATTATTTATTATCTTCTTCTGGTTTGACTGATGGCATTAATACGAGTGTTATTGATCTACTATAATCAGATGGAAGATACGACGAGTGTTTTAATAGTCATAATAAGTTTTTTGTTAGGATGTTGTGATGTGTTTGAATTGAAATAGAATTTTAATATTATTTATTACCCTCTTCTGATTTGACCTGCGGTAATAATATCTTCCATATCTCTGGTATTTGCATTGAGTCATGTTTGTTGCATGTGTTGGGTGTGGAATCGATAAATAAGGATTCCGTAATCAACCTTATTTATCGAGTCTACACCCAACACATGCAACAAACATGACTCAATGCAAATACCAGAGATATGGAAGATATTATTACCGCAGGTCAAATCAGAAGAGGGTAATAAATAATATTAAAATTCTATTTCAATTCAAACACATCACAACATCCTAACAAAAAACTTATTATGACTATTAAAACACTCGTCGTATCTTCCATCTGATTATAGTAGATCAATAACACTCGTATTAATGCCATCAGTCAAACCAGAAGAAGATAATAAATAATCTTAAAATTCTATTTCAATTCAAACACATTCTAACAAGCAGCTTATTATGACTGTAAAAACACTCGTCCAATTTTCCCATCTAATTGCAATTGATCAACAACACTCGTACGATTATTTCTGAATGTACATTATCTCACATTGATTTTTAATCCAATATCTAATCCATTCCACATATGTATATAAATGAGAGATCAAAGTTGTGTGAGTAACTTGATATGATTATGAGCAATAGTTTGTGCTCGAAACGTCATCAGTTCATATAACTGTAAACACTGTGCGATTTATCAAAATAAAATCTTATCTATAATGGAATTATACTCTACCACAGTGATTAAGGCACTCTATTCGTACTCATACAGCCAGGTGAGGGCTTACGGCGAGCTGTCATCTGAACTGATGACGACCAGTGGTGTCCGTCAAGGATGTCCATTATCTCCTTTTCTATTCAACTTCATCATAGATGTGTTAATGGACTTAACCCTAGGTGACTTCAGTGACTCAGGGATTTACTTGCTACCGGGGAATAATCTCGTTGACTTAGAATATGCAGACGATATAGTCCTTCTAGCCGAAGACGCTGACGAAATGCAGAGTCTTCTAAACACCTTGAGCCGCAATCTACGAATGTTTGGCATGCGACTCGCTCCCGCCAAATGCAAGATGATGTTACAGGACTGGACTACATCGACGCCTAGTTTAAAAATAGGAAGTGAAGTGGTAGAGCACGTTGACTGCTTCACTTATTTGGGAAGTACCATCAGCCCCAACGGGCTGATCTCTGACGAAATCTCAGCACGAATACAAGGGGCTCGTTTCGCATTTGTTAGTTTACGCCGACTCTGGCGTAGACGAGATGTTCGACTATCGACCAAAGGGCGGGTGTACTGCTCATCAGTCCGCTCCGTCCTCCTGTATGGTTGTGAGACCTGGCCACTGAGAGTGGAAGACATGAAAAGACTAGCTGTCTTTGATCATAGGTGCCTGCGTTCTATTTCCCGTGTAAAGTGGCATAATAAGGTGAGCAACATGGAGGTTAGGCGTAGAGTTCTAGGTAAACAGGGGAAATCAATCGACGAAGTCGTGAAGTTACAAAGACTGAGATGGTTAGGACATGTGTTACGTATGCCAAGCCATCGCCTCCCTCGACGAGCAATGTTAGCGGATATAGGGTCAGGCTGGAAAAAAGCTAGCGGCGGTCAAACAAAAACTTGGCACCAGTCAATGAAATCCACAACAGTTGGTCTAAGCCACGTAGGAAGGTGTAGACTTCCAGGCTGGGGTCCTCGGGACGGTAAAAATCTATGGTTGGAAACAATTGGTGACATGGCTCAAAACCGTTCTCAGTGGCGCAGATGCATCCACTCCCTGTGACTTATGATCTTCAATGAAACTGTTTTGTATTTCTTTATTACTCCTTTGTCTCACACCTCTGCTCACTGTTTCTATTATGCTTTTCTTGTAATTTCTTCTCTTGCTTCGCGTGCTACAGGGAGTGTGGCGACTTGAACTTCCGCACATTTGTGCAAAGTTCTATGTCGAAAACAGACAGACAGACAGACTACCACAGTGCCCAAGTTTTATACTTATAGAAATAGTAAAATGACAAAATAAACACGAAGTTCGGGCATGAAAATATGGTAGTGTAAACAGGGATTAAGAAAAGCTTAAAGTAACATGAATAAACAGGAAGTTTAGATAAGAAAGACGATGGGATGGTCATTACTAAAAGAATTACCTGTTTGTGATGGCCATGGCAGGGACAGGGGTTGGATGTATTTCTTTTGGATAGCTAGTGCCTCGGCTATGTCCAGATATCTTAATTTCCCTCCCTTTGATAGGTTTGATTGAATCTTGTGTATTACTTTGAAGGATTTTTCGAAAGGCGCTGAATGTCCTGAATTGATCAGATGTTCTGTCACTGAACTGTTTACACGCTTTTGGTCTCCTTTTACTAACCAGGCTGGGTAGTGTTCACGAGCGCGTTTTTCAAGTTGGCGCATGGTACGGCCAACCTACTCAGCTCCACAAGAGCAAGTAAACTGGTATATGCACGTTGAGGTGGCCCAATGCGACAGCTTGTCTTTCGCTTTCTGGCTGAACAGTTTCTTGCAGGAAAACGTCAGTCGTAGGCTCGCTGCGAAGTATCTTTTTCTTAGCGATTTGGAGAGGCGTTTACGAAGGATTTCTGCTTCAATATCACCTTTGAATTGTAGATTAAGCTTAGGTATTTTCTTTGGAACGGATTGGACTTGTTCGGAAGTCTTCTTAGATTTGAGATTCTTGTCTATGAACCTGGGTGGGAAACCCTTTTCCATCAGGGTTTTTCGAAGATTTCGAAGTTCTTCAACCATTTTCTCGCTGCATATCTTCCGAATCCTCGAGGAAAGAGCGTATATGAGGTTCCTCTTTCTGCTCAGGGGCACGAAGCTTTGAAAGTTGGTGGATTGTCCATTCCATGTAAGCATTTTGTATATGGACCTTTTCAGAGAGTTGTTGGCGTTTCTTGTCAGATGGACGTCGAGGAAGTGGAACATTCCGTCGGATTCAGTCTCAATTGTAAAGTCGATGTTTGGGTGGACGTTATTGAAGATTAGAAGTAGGTTTTTTAAATCACAATTCTTATTACAAATAATGAAAGTATCATCGATGTATCTCTTGTAGAGATGGAGGTCGGTGATAAGAGGTTGTTTTCTAAGCTAGCCATAAAGCAGTCGACTGGGGAGTGGTCCTAAGGGAAAACCCATTGCTACTCCATCTACCTGCCTGTATATTTCCTTGTTGAAACTAAAGTATACGTTGGAGGTGCATCGAAGTAACAGTTTTTTCAGGCAACCGGAAATTATTCTGGAACTTTCTCATCTATTTGATATAAATACACGAATGGACAGCCTAGATGATAATTTCATCGAAAAGAAAATTTTCTTCGCTGCAACTGTCTTCCTAATAACTCCTATGACCCAATGTGTAGTTTTCAAATGAAACATGTCACAAATATGTGGTCGTTATGATGCCTAACTCGTCAACACATGTTAATGTTCATTGCTCATGACTGAGAGTTATTTCTACTGTGATTAATTTCCGATCATATCACCTAGACTTAGGCACTTCTATACAGTCCTAAATTATTGATTGATTCATCAGCCGTATCACCTAGTCTTCATTTCACCTGTTATCAGATTCCATCAAGATACCCTGGTTTTTCCACACACACAAAACAGCAGCAGTTATTGGTTTTACGGATATACCGCTTAATTTTCAAGACGACAGAACTTCCACCCTGATTCCAATTCAAACAAGCAGATAACAACTGATCAGGTGCAATACACCACTGCATAAGTCTACGATTGATACACATTTATCCTTTAAGTGTGCGTCGGTGGCACGGCGGTTACGACTTTCGCTGACCATACACATGGTCCGAGGTTCGATCCCCTGCCGACGAACACCTGATATCTATAGTCGGCCTGCAAAATTTGGGCTACCGATATCACATGCTGAAAATTCCATACCTGTACCAAAAAGTACGGTGTGGAATCAAGCTGTAATCAAAAAATAAAAATAAGTTGCTTAATGATTATGTCCTACCTCACTTTTTGTGCATTCTCACAATTCCCTCATCACCATGGAAAGCGTTACTTTCATACCTGTATCGCCTCTTTCATTATGCACCATGAACCGATACTCGGTCATATCACGTCCTGCTTTGTTGAAATTTATTCAAAACCCAAGAGCCTCTGTCACATGCTGTTTTTCATTTATGGGCATAATACACTCTTGCAATTTCCCCTAAACTCCCAGTGATATGAATTAGTAAGAGCCAAGTGAACCATCTTCATTTGCATATAAACATCAGATAAGTTACTATTATTATTTTTATTTGTATTTCCAACTTGAGAATGTTCTCATGTACGCTTTACTAAGTATATATCCTGAGAAATAGATTCGCTGGTTACTATTACGCTGTAAATTATCGAAAAGAAAAATTAAAACCCTGTCACTACTGTTTTCACACTGTTACCAGTTGAATATTACTCGATACGCAGGAAATCTACTTTCGTAGTACTTAGCAGCTGATAAAAATAACACATTTCAAAATTGACATTGAATAATATATAAATTTCATGTGTTTATTTTTCTTTTTAGAGCGGGATTGAAAGCAGGTGATGTAATAGTTGCTATTGATGGTATACCTATAGCAAATGCCCAAGAAGTCTATACGGCAACAGAAAGTCGAGAACGAATATCAATTGTGATAGTTAGACAAGGAAAACGTATAACTATAGAGAATATTCAAACTGAAAAAGTCTAAGACCTATGAACTTGATTATATATATATATATATTCGATGTGTGTACTACATTTATTCCTTATTGTACACTTGTATTAATGTGACTGCATTAGTACACTGGGCTTTTTATGACTTTTTTCATTCCCTCTGTAAACTTGTCTCTTTTTTTCAAAAGAAGAAATGCTTTGTTCTCTTTCTCTCTTTTTGTAATGCATTTTATTTCAAATAGAAAGAGCAGTAATCAAGAGATTTTTGAAAATAACATTATCTTCATTTTGTTGAATATCATCATGTGGAAAGAATATATACTAGTAAAAGTTGAAACTAAGAAATTTGGTGATTGCACGAAAAAATATAACATAACATATAAAGATAAAATAAAGTTAAAGAAATCAAGGGGATAAAGAATACTAAAACAAGAGGAAGAAGAAGTTAGAAGATATATTATGCTTTCATTTGTTGTTGTTTTTTTTTGAGTGGTTGTATAATACCACATCCAAAAGTTGGAATGAGCTGCAGTTCCAGGTTGTTGATATTTGTTTAGCGTAAATCTAATATATTCAGTTCCACTTTGAATGAAACATAAGGGAAGTAGTCCGATGATGTACCGAAACCACTCACGTTTACTTCTTCCTATAAAATTAAATGAACATACTTTTTTCAATTTTTTGTACTAAACAATACCAAATAAGGAACGCTTGGCAAAATTATCATAAACAAGTTAAGTCCTGATATATATATATATCCGCAAGATACCTGCAGATTGGGAAAAAAGACTACTTATTCAAACTTCCAAAGAAAGGAGACTTAAGTCAATGCAAGAACTAGTGCGGCATTATGCTCCCGTTCATTCCAAGCTAAATACTAAGCCGCATCATCCTGGGGAGAATCAAACACACCCTGGATGAAAGACTTCGACCAGAACAGACTGGATTCAGCAGGAACAAGCCATCCATCGATCAAATCGCAACACTAAGAATCATCATTGAACAGAGTTTGGAATGTCAGTCAGCTCTCTACCTCACTCAACTTCATCGACTTTGAAAAGGCCTACGAGAGCGTCGATCGAGAGATGATTTGGAAACTACTTCACTACTACGGGGTGCTGCCAGCAATTATACACTTCATCCAACAGTTATACGACAATGCTGCATGCCAAGTAATCCACAACGGGAAACTCACGAAATCCCACGAAGAAGTGAAGACGGGATTAAGGCAAGCTGACTGCCTACTATCTCCAATGATTTTCCTGATTGTGGTGACATGACTCACGAAAACACTTGGAAGATCTGGACTTTGCCGATGATATTGTCTGATTTATCACAAACCGGAAGATATGCAAATGAAAAGCAACAAGTTAGCAGAAAAAGCATCGATGATGGGAACGACTTTGGGTGAACATATAGGAGACAGGTGATGAAGATTCCTGGCCAACAGCAACAACAACCAGCCAGCATGAATGGGAGAAATCTGAAAGAAGCAACCTTCTTTACTTACCTACCTGGGAAGCATCGTTTCAACTACAGGCGGATGGAACTGATGAGGATATCAAAGCAGCGAGGATCGAGAAATCAAGGCAAGCTTTCATTACTCTTAAGTCTGTGTGGAGGTCAACAGCACTTAGCATGAAAAATAAGATGTAGATATCCAAATCCAATGTGGAGTCAGTGCTACTTACTATACGGATCAGAGAGTTGCACTGAATATCACGAAGGAAACTTCGAACAAACTACACATCTTCATCTACAGCTATCTTGGCTCAGTACTACTCAAGATCAGATGGTCGGCCAGAAAAGATCAGCAACAGGGAGGGATCTCTGGCAATGAGCGAATCAACCCAGTAGGAGCCGATTGTGCAACAAATATGCAGGAAGAAATGGTGGTGGATTGGCCATACTCTGAGAACACCATCAAGTGACATCACTCCAGGCTATCTCTCTCGAGTGGAACCCGAACGGGAAGCGGTCAGTTAACCGTCATTGTGAGGGTGACATGGAGGAGGTCATGTGAAGCGGAGATGAAAGCATGTAGGCAGACGTGGAGCCAGGTGAAGATGTTGGCAGAGAACCGAACGCAGTGGAGACGTTCGGTTGAAGACCTATGTTTTTCTAGGAATCAAAGGAGCCAATAATATATATGTCATTTAAAAAGACATTTTAAACTCTCTGTTAATAGCGCAAAACGATAAAAAAACAACTTTATAATTGGATAACTACTGCTCTTTAAAACCGTCACCCTCTTCTTCCAGCTAACTTCTCCAGAAAGAATGGTTTCAGGCAACATAGCTCGTCGGGTCATCGCAGTGTATCGCGGTGTATTTATTGGTCGGTTAAAAATTCAGATGGCTGACATAAAGACTTAGAGCTAGCCAAATGGTGCACAAATTATAAAATGCCATAACAGAACTTACGTCCATAACTGAACTTGAAGACGTTCCATCCAAGTGGCTGTAGAGCTGCTTTAATATATCTCTTAGCTTTTTTTGTTGTTTTTTGCTTGGCTCAAGCAGTATTGCTTGAAAATCTACAGGTAACCCGTATCTGAAATAAAATTTAAGATTAGCTCACAACCAGTATGTGCTACGAGTGCAGAAAAATTAAGCAGGTGGAAAAAAAACCAAGGTAACCAGAAGTGAATCAAAATTTTCGCTCACAATACAAGATACATCGTCTTCACTGACACAAGGGTTATCAATAGACATTCAATATCAAACCTTTTAATTTAATATTCTTTTATATATTTGACCAATAGCATTCACTCCTCCATTAGCTAGATTTTAATAGCACCCAGGTAATTTGCAACTAGGTATGCAAAATTTAAACTGTCACTGCACTACAATATATTTTTGTTTTTCATGTATGATTGTGAACGGAACGAAAACTCCGAAAATACTGAGCTATCATTTAAACTGCCCAATATCTTGCGTTGGTGGCACAGCGGTTAGAACGCTCGCCGACCATGCGCATGGTCCGGCGTTTGATTCCCGGCCCACGCACACCTGATATCAATGGTCGGCCTGTAAAATTTTGGGCTACCGATATCGCATGCTGAAAATTCCATACTTGTAGCAAAAATACCGTGTGGAGTCAAGCTATAATTAAAATTAAAAATTTTGCAATCCTTGATATTGCGTAGTACTGAAATTACAACTGACATACACAAATCTTTAGAGACTATAAGTTATGCGAAACCCTGAGGGTATTTTGTCAAAACAGATAGCTTGCACGCTAACACTTGTGGATGATGGCATCTATTAAATTCCGTTTGAATTACATCTGTGTCGATATGATATGATAAACCTAATTTCTTTATGTACAATTATGATAAGCTTCTGGGCGATTAAATGTATAAAAGTCATGAAATACTGTTCCGATACATTCTTCATAAGGAATATGACCTCTGACCTTCAAGTGTGGAGGTGAAAAATTACTGGTCATGATCACATAAACAAAATGATTTTTATTACTAATGCATATTACAGGCTGATCAGTAATCTATTCTATACTAGCCTTCATGTAAAGACATCTTCAGAATTATGCATAACGTTTTTGTCTAACAGATGCACAAATTTCTCTTCTAAATGTTTTCTTGTGACTGACCACTGTCGATGTAAGTATACAACTGCATTATATCCAGCATATTCCATTTCAAGGCACTTTCCTAGCTAGTATACCTGGTTGTATTGCTGGTAACCTCCGCCAAAGAATTACCTGACAAAGCCTATGAAAGCTTGGCCATATGACAGCACTCTGAGAGGAAAACCCGAGTCTTTCCATATTATAGTATCATTTGCTGGCCGACGCTTGTTCTTAATCTTTCAGTTATAACTACAAAACTTTGACAAATGTCTTATAGTTTTGATATGATTATGAACAACAGACTGTGTTCGAAACGTCAGCCACTGAAGAACACCGTTCTACTGTGATATAGCTAATAAACAAATTAAAATAGAATTACCTATAACCACATTGCCCAAACTTTATATATATATATATATATATATATATATATATATATATATCAGACCAGAGTCCACGTTCATTTCGGATAATTCCTCAATGGAAACAAATTTGACAACTTGAACATACACTGTAGCTACTGCCTGTAGAGTAATGGATTTATTACTATACTATAAGGATGTTGATTATATATTCCTTTGTGTACCTAGCAGTTGTACAGTCTAGTGATTTAGTCCTGTTAGACATTTGGGAACGATTTTACACGGGTTAGCTGATAGTACTGACAGACTATACTGCAAGTGTCTCGGTGTCTAGTTCACGATCGGTAGACCATACTTCAATACTTCTGACTATTTATTCGCTGGATGGCAAAGCAAAACAATTATAGACGTAGTCATTAGGTGCAGGCACAAATGATTTTTAAAATCCTAAAATACATCTCACTAATATTAGCAAATTCATTGGAATTAATATGTTCTCATGAACCATAAATGAGCTTATAAAGGTTCTCACCGTAAAACAGACTCCACGAATACCCGAAGAGCTTTAATATGCACCATAGCGGAAAAAGCCTCACCAAAATTAACTTTCAACCATCGAAACAGCGGTGCCTAATGAAGATTAAAGTAAACAATGGATTATGGACTCGGAAAATTGCATAATAACATCAGCCTTCAAAATATATCGGAACCCGCGTACATTTCTATCAGTTATCCTGAATGTAATACAGTGTAGCTGTCAAGACTAAATCAAGTGAACCAGGATTTGAAACTGAAACCACTTGCTTAGGACCTGAATGAATAAGTAGGTTATTCGCATTTAAAGGAAAATCAGTTAAAATGTAACAGGCCTCTGATACCACTAAAATCAATACGTTGTACATTCATAACTTCATAAATGGGTTTACAAGCGTTTAATTGTGACGGCTAGGATCAAAACTGCAGCTTCGGGATATGCATGAAAATAAAAACTGAGACAAAAGCTACACTAACTTGTAATGAGAACGGCAACAACAATGTCTTTTTTCTACAAAAAAAACGCCTCAACATTACGCAGAGAAATATATCACGATAAGTATGTTACGTTTTATCAAGTCCTAAACTATGTCCTATGTACTAATGCTGGTTACAGTGACTTACGAAAAGATGAAAAATGTTGTATGTGCGACTTAATCACCTACATATACCTTCATTAAAAAGCAAGGACTGAAGGTGTCAGGAACTTCTAGTAGTCGAAAAAGTATCATTATAAATGACAATGCATCCACCGAAAGTGATAAAAAGTGTTAACTGATAAGTTCACCGTTAATTTCCAAGCATAGTGGACCGAAAAGTAGAACTGTGATACGACTGAAAACTTAGACCTCCCGGAAAGATGGCAAGACAGAATGCACAACAGTAGTCAAGCCACAGCTGTTACAACTCTCAGGCGCTAAAAAGTATAAAGTGTAACTTAATAGTTACCTAGTCTGATAAATCACAACTTGGGAAGATGCGGATGTCAGTAGTAAAAAAATGGTTTTAAAGTTCAATTGATATGACATAGAATAAAATTAAATCCGAAAACTTACGAACTGCCGCTTTTTGTCTGACTCGAGTTTCGACAATTCATGTTTACTTTCTTCAATCTTTTTCTCATCATACGTGAAATCACGCACCACGAATCTACAAAATGTCTTGTGGAAAATCAGACAAACTTATGCTCGCGAGCCTGAGATTTGAAATCATCAATCATCTTCTTGAAAAGAGTAACAGTCCAAAGACCATTGTCTTGATCTTCAAATATAAGTCTTAAGAATTTAAATACAATGCATTAAAATTACTCTGATGATTTGGGAACTACCATGTCTGTCATGGTTTCATAATTCGATTTCCAGTCATTATACAGATTCCTAAGTATAAAGTAATGTGTGGACAACTTACTTAGGAACAACCACAACTAGAGTGGCAAGGTATTCCGAGTCGATGACAAACTGTTCTCTTTTAACAAGATCTCCTAGGTCACGGGTGATAAGACTCCCACTGAGCAGCAATTCATTATTCAAAATGTATTTGACTCACGTCTGTTTCTTCTCTAAACTTTGAAGACATCCTTTTAAAGTGTTATATGCCTGAGATTTTACCTTAAGGTCTGAGTCTATCTTTGTAAGTTGCTAGAAAACAGACGTAGCAGTTTATAGGGTGGAAATACCTCAGAAATAATGGAGTACAATGAACTCAGAGTTTGTTTGACAGGATATTTCGCATAGTCCCACTGAAACTTAGTTAGAAATGAAGATGGAGATACTAGGAAGTATGAAAGAAAGCATTAACATACATCCATTCACACTCAAGTTGTCTTCTAACTTGTGCTTTTGTTCTTCAAGGACATCGCCCATATACTGCGCGACTTTTTTCGTGATACTGAAGCACCTCAGGTAAGGCAAAAAAATACCAACCTTTCAGCGTATACATCCAACTTCGACAGTTCATCAGAAAGTCCGACCAAAATATCTAACGTTCCTACCTTTTGACGAATATAAAAATATCGTCTGCATAAAGTTACCTTGAAATCAGGGGGTATATTGAATTTGTTAATCTGAGAACACACATCCTTGTACTTCGACAACGTCGTCTGAAGGCGCAGATACACCTGCTCTGGATTTCTTTCCCCAGGAACAGATATTATCCAAAACTCAGTCATTTTACAGTGCTCGAACAACCCACCAAAAGTACAACGTTCAATGCCACACTCTTATTTCGTGTGGCCAAAGTGGAATACTAAGTTTCCTTTGCTTTTCACCCCTAAGGTGTTTAAAAAGCCTCAGAGGCTCAAATGGCTAAGTTCGTAATCAATTTATTGTTTAACTGGTTTTCAGATTGGTTAGATATGGTATTTCGTCAAACCTAGATGTAGTTGATAAGTAATCCGGTAAATAAACGTTTTTAGTTTCTGCATGAAACCTCGAAAAGTTAAGGGAAGGTATAAATATGGGCTGGTGGATTAGAAAACACGAGACAATGAAATACCAGTTCCTCTGATTTTGCGTCATAGGAAGGCCAATATAAACAAACTAATTTTCAACAGTTGGTTTGCACGATTCCGGTTTTTTCAAGTAAAACCATGGACTGATATCACATAGAGAAGCGGTGAAAACCAGGGAGCACTGGACAGTTCTTCTGTCCTGGTTTGGTACTCATCGTCAGTGCGCATGCACACTACTCTCTTGTTTTCAGTGGTTCTCTAACTGATATCAATCCATGCTTACACTTGAAAAACCAACTGATGATTAGCCTGCGGTAACAAACTAGGCTTTCTTCTGAGGTATTTTTCTGTATGCCCGTAACCACCTCTGTAAAGATTAATTAAAAACACACAATCGCAACAGTCGGTGTGATCACGGGCAGTAATTGTGCTCGAAATATTAGCAAAAACAAAAGCTTATCATTGTGCGTAAACTGCTGAAACATAAGTATAATTTATTTCAGCTGGAACGCCCATATTCTTAAATAGTTAAAATCAGACGAAGAAAAATTAGTCCTAAGCGGCTGGGTTGTTATATCGCGTGAATGGTTCTGACTAAGTCCTAGGGCTACAATAATACACCTTCATCCAACCCCGTCATCTCCAGTCCTCTTAAGTTGGCCCACGAATCTCAGTACGAATACCAAGGAAGCTGTGACTATTCAACCAAACGTAATTTCTACGATATCCCCATGCGCTGTTGAAACATGAGGTTGACAGGTGTCAATGCAGTTGAAGATTGAACGATCAATTCATGGTTGTTTGCTCAAACCCAACTTCCCCATAATTTTCGCGGGTCATCAATCCGACAGTCATCGTCTCATCGTTCACTGTTCAGAAGGAAGATTAAAAACTATCAGAAGTAATATCGTGATTTATTGTTATAACATTTGTTCTTAGACCTTCTGTGATAACATTATTGTTGGTTATATGTTGGCGTTACAATAAAGGATTCTTGAGTCGCCAATCAGTGTTCTGGTTCTCGCGTTGGTTAATACAAAGCGTTTCTGAAAGTCTTCGAGGGACAGCGTGGGGTCCAGCGCACCAAGAGCTGAACATTGACAGTTTATCAGACTTGGCCGACAGTTTCTGATAGTGTTTGGATAGTTTCCGTAGTCTTTACTGGTGCTTGCCAGTCTTCTTTGAACAAGTGTTATCTGGAACTTTTCTGGAATTTCGGTCAAGTTCAATAACACCTGGGTCAAAGAAGGGACAGAGTGTCTTGGAAGCAATCAGGAAAGTAAGTGATGCTGAGTTGCTTGTTAATTGTAGTGATATGTATGATGCCCAGCACGATGAGTCTGTTGTTCATGGTTCGCAGTCTAGGGATAATAGGCATAAATTTGAAACTTGGTGTTTCGACGGAAACCCAGCTGACTACTTACGGTTTGAAAAGGAGTTTGAAATCATGTTGAGTAGTTTTTTATTAAATGATGAAATAAGTTGATGTATTTGATGAGGTACCGCACTGGAGTTGCTTCAAGAACTATACAGTGCTGTAAGTTCATGCCCCCCAAACGAAGGATGCTCTGAGGTTATGAGTATACTGAGTCAAAGATTCGGAAGACCTTCGATGATTGTAATGAACGTATTCGAGGCTGTCAAGGGTAATGGTAGTCAACTACGAGATGACTCTAAGGCACTCTCTGAGTTTTTGGATAATCTGTTCACTTACAAGAATGCATTGATTTCGATGAATTGCATGAGCGATCTGAACTCAAGTTCTGTCCTAGAAGTAATAGCGAGACGCCTACCTACTCGACTGCAACTGAAGTGGGTGAAGATAAGCTCTCGAAAAGAGGATGAAGGTATTGAGCCAAAGTTCGATGATATTCTGAAATTGGTAAACGATAGTGTCAATCAATCTATGAGCAAATTTGCCAGTAAATTGCATTTCACCCCTAGAATAGAGAAGTCTGAGAGCAAAACACAATCATTTATGACGGAAGGGCTAAGGAGAAGTGGATGTCAAGAAAGCTTTGTGATGTCTACTAATCCATATAAACTTTGTTAGTGTAACAGCTTTCGTGGGACATCCCCAACAGATAGGTTACAAGTTGAGAGACAGAGACGGTTGTTTTTTTGTTAGGATCCCACGCACTTTGTTACTGATCAATTATTTCAACGGCTTTTAACCTCGCATAAATGGTATATCATCATTCCCACACACTTTGTTATTGACTGTTAATCTCGCATAGATGGTATATTATCATTTCTCACGCAATTTGTTATCGACTATTACGATCAATTATTTCAAATGCTGTTAGCTGTCTATATTGTTGTAAAAATGTATAAATACCATGACTTTCTTTGTCGTAGTTGTTGTACCACAATACACAGTCACAGTCCAGCCTTTGTCTTTTGATATTTGCGTGGTTCACTGAATCGGAAGGTACCACAAGCAGATAGGCATATTAGTCAGGCGCAGACAGAACAAGGCGACAACGTCCTCATTTAATTCCCTACCGTTATAACAAATTGGCGACGGGGTTTTACCTTAATTCATTGCAGTTATAACAAGCAAACGACGACAGTTTTTATTCTGTTCAGCGCAGCTATATAACATTTTTGACTGTGTTAATTACAACCCAATTACAATGTCTATCTCTCTGGACGATCTCAAATCTATCTTGCAGCAGCAGCAAGTTCAGAATGAAGCAGCTCAACTAAAATTAATCGAAGCTCTCACTCAGAAGCTGTCCATTCAAGTTCCATCAACATCTCATTCAGACAAATATGAAAGCATCTCAAATTCCATCAGTGAGTTCAACTACGACCCAATATCTGGTCTCGTATTTGATGCATGGTTCAATCGTTACGAAGACGTTTTCCGTATTGAATGCTACATGTTTGATGATGCTGCCAAAGTCCGATTGTTACTAAGAAAACTTGGTACTGTTGAGCACAACAGATATGTTAACTTCATTCTGCCTAAGAACCCACGTGAGTTATCATTCGATGAGACAGTCACCGTTTTATCACAAATCTTTGGTGAACAGTCATCCATGTTTAATATTCGGTATCAATGTTTTCAGTTGACAAAAATGCCTTCCGATGATTATGTCACTTACGCTGGCAAAGTGAACAAGGAATGCGAAAGGTTCAAACCACACGAAATGACATCAGATCAGTTCAAGTGTTTGATTTTTATTTGTGGGTTGAAGAACCCAGAAGATACTGACATAAGAACTCGACTTCTGTCACTCGTGGAACAAGACCCGAAAATGACTTTACAAATGGTGACAGCAGAATGCCTACGCTTAATCAACTTGAAGCACGATACTGCTATGGTGGAGTGCAAACGACAGTCGTCTGAATTTGGTTCAATTAACACAGTGAAAAGTCCTCCGATCACCGTTAAGCACACAGCACGTCAGTCTCAGAATTCAGCTAAACCTCCTTCAGTGTGCTGGCACTGTGGTTCGTGGCATTTTGTCAAGTTCTGTCCTTTCAAGAAACATAAATGCCGTAATTGTCACCGTTTTGGACATAAAGAGGGTTACTGTCCACCGCAGAAAAATTCTTCGGTGAGGAACAGAAGTAGTCGTTTCAAGCCGAAACAATCTCCTCGAGTACAGACCATTTTCACAACTTCCAAAGTCGATTTCGCCAGCAAACGTAAGTACATTACACTAGGTATTAACGGCAAACATATTCGTCTTCAGTTGGATACGGCATCAGATATCACCTTAATTTCCCGAACTACGTGGCGCAAACTTGGGTGCCCACAGATTCTGCCGACCGAGCATGTCGCTAAGAATGCCTCTGGAGATATACTGAAACTCGTGGGTGAGATAAATTGCCAGGTTCAGTTTGGTGAGCATCACTTCAATGGTGTATGTTACGTCACAAACTACCATGATTTGAATTTGCTTGGTCTTGACTGGTTAGACAAGCTCCATATCTTCAATGTACCATTAAATTCAGTATGCTCTAATGTTTCGTCCTCACCACATAACGTTGTTCCCGGACATGTATCTGATCAGTCTCTCTTGCAACGCCTGCGTCAAAAGCACGCTTCTGTCTTCCAGGACAAACTTGGTTGCTGCAAATTTACCCAAGTTGTTTTGTCTCTAAAGCCAAACGCGAAGCCAGTTTTTCGTCCAAAACGTCCAGTTCCGTATGCTGCTGTCACATTGGTTGAGAATGAACTCGACAGACTGGAAGCATTGGGTGTCATCAAACCAGTAACGTATTCGCCCTGGGCTGCCCCTATAGTTGTTGTACGCAAAGCAAATGGTTCCATTCGCCTGTGTGCAGATTTCTCAACTGGGTTAAATGATGCTCTAGAGGATCATGCTTATCCATTACCAATTCAAGAAGACTTATTCGTCAAACTTAATGGTGGTAAATGTTTTGCAAAAATTGACCTTGCTGATGCTTACCTTCAAATAGAAGTTGAACCAAAGTCTCGAGAGTTGCTAACAATCAACACTCATAGGGGTCTCTACCAGTTTACTCGCTTACCATTTGGTGTGAAACCAGCACCCGCAATTTTTCAGCAGATCATGGATACTATGCTTGCTAACCAACCTGGTGTTGCTGTCTACCTCGACGATGTGATAATCACAGGGAGTAGTAAGTCTGAATTGTTTGATCGACTTGACGCTGTGCTATCCAAAATGTCAGAGTTTGGGTTCTACCTTAAAGAGGATAAATGTACATTTTTCATGGATTCA